TTCCCTGGTCCATGTGAGCCCGAGGTTGCATTAATTCCTGGAACCACTACTCTACTAGCTCAGTTTCCCACTGATTATTCCTCTTGCAAAACTTTTCTGTGTGCCAGGAATACTATCTGCTGGCTAAACCTAGTGCTGTCCAGAGGAGTGGGTAAAGGCAGACGGGATGCAAGTCCCCATGGTGGCTGCTTTTCTGCCCTCTGGCCCCAGGAGGGCTCTTGTGCTTGGGACATCAGGCAGGCAGCGCTAGAGAAAGGCAGCAAATCACTGTCTCATCTTCCCCAGCCAGAAATGTATTCAGTTACTCCTTTCCTGCATGTCCCTCAAAGTTCTGGCATTTAGTTCATACGGTTTGGGGGCTTTTAACCATCATGCTTAACAAGGACGAAGTGCCTGACCACCTCAGCTGCGCAGGGGCGTGGAAGAGCAGACAGACTCCAGCCTGTGTGCAGGGATCAGGCATGCTCTCTTGCCATCCCTCAGGAAAATAACTCTCTGTGCTAAGCCCTTTGCCGGAGCTTTGCGCATAGCAGCTCCTCTTTAATACGGGATAAGCATGCAAAACAATTGAGATCATTTTTATGGAATGAGACAACTGAGAGAGCATGTTCAAAACCCCTTCAGGAAATGAACTGAGGGGTATTTCAATAGGTATTTCTTTTGGATTAAGCTGTTTGATTGTATGATCCAAGAACAGAGAAGTGGTTGAGACACACTACAGGGCACACAAAGAATGCAGCTGGGAAGCTTTAGAAGGCTTCCCCTTTTTATAACTTTTTTTTTTTTTGGGGGGGGGGGCGGGGGATGGGGAATACTTTATTTACAGACAGAATCACCATATTTCAGGCACCCAGCTTCTGTCCAAGGAGTGGAGGCTGGGAGTCGTTGGCTTGGGTGAAAAAGCTACAAGAGGGAGGGATAAGAGAGAGGACTTAACAAGGGAGTACCAAGAAAAGAGTAAAAAACAACTCTTAATTTTCTTGGATAAAATCAACCAGAAACCCTCACAGAACAAGTGGAGAGAGTTAGCCATACACAAAATATGCGGTGGAGCTATAGTCTCCTCTTTATAGAACACCATAGGTGCTGTGAATTTGCATGGCTACCCAGACATGAGGGCCCTGAGGGTGCCACCAGTACTTATTGCCCCATGGCAACCCCCGGGGCACCCCCCACCCTGTTTGTGGTCCAGAGCCCCATTTCATCCCCTCTGGGGCTGCCAGTCACTGCCTCAGGGATGCCCTAATGCAAACATCTTGTCTCACACTCTTATGTACTGGCACTGCCAGTGAGAAGCTCTTAGTGAATTCAAGTCAGACAGTAGTGCTGGACAAACTGGTTTAGAGAGAGGCTTATTTTCACCAAAAAATTAGGAGGATCTCTCTCCAGGGATAGAAAAGAGAGATTGAATCTATTTTATTCTAGAAGGGGAGTTGAACTGGCTTCTATCACCTCTAAATAATATGTCCCAGTAGCCCAACCTTTGGATAATATTTTTCATGTGTTTTGTTCTCCTGCAAGAAAAATTAGCAATTTGCTTGATTTGGATTGAACTGTTTGGGGTGGGTTTTGCTTATTTCCTAATCTTAGAAATAATAAAAGTAACTGTAGTTTGAAAGAGAGAAAAAGCTACTTTTTAACCTTTGTTCCATTAGGAAAAGCTTTTGGGTAGGGTGTCTGATTGACTAAAAAATTGACTGCAAGCTGTGAGCAAAGCCATACCCCTCCAGCAGTCAGTGAACAAAGAGAGTTAGTACTCCCAGCACCTGAGGAGAGCTTCACCTATTCTATGTGACAAATTCATAGACTTAACTTGAAGTCAGGATACAGAATCATAGAATGGTTTGGGTTGGAAAGAACCTTAAGATCATCAATTTCCAACCCCTCTGCCATGGGCAGAGACACCTCACACTAGACCATGTTGCCCAAAGCTCTGTCCAGCCTGGCTTAAACACTGGTAGGGCTGGAGCATATATGTGAGCATATGCTCACACCTTGTGCACACTAAGGTCTGATTAGCTGAGGAGCACAATACATCTATTGCTTATTCTGAACCCATGAATATGAATAGAGATAATTCGGAAAGGAATGTCTATAGTTCTTGTTAAAGACACTTGGAAAGACAGAGGTGCCACCTACCAGTTTATAGGAATAATTAAATATAAACAATTGAAATGGACAAAGAGTTTATCAGCCTCAGCCCTCATGCTTTTGTCAGGAGGGTGCAAAAGAGAAGTTGGGTACAGGGGTGACACATCTTCAGGGAGAACAGGTGAAAGCAAAGCAGCTCCTGGGAACTTTGCACCACACAGAAGACTGCAACACAAACACTTCTTGTTTAGGTAAACTAGTCGAATACAAAACCAACACAAACTCTGTTCCCCAAAATACACAATTTAACAAAAAGTGCAGTTTCAATAACAAGGAGGCAACTCTATACTTGTGGTATTGTAACATCTTTTTCAGGTCTGTGTGAAACTTCAGGATTCAGAGTCAGAGTGCTGTCACAATACAAAGAGCTGCTTTAACTGCTACCACTGTATTTTTCAGAAAGAAAAAGTCGTCATAAAGAAAAGCTGTAGGGGTTTCAAAAGCCCCAGACTCAGTAGAGACTCCACAGTTTAATTTGTGAAGTGAGGCAGCTGACAGAATGCAAACTCAATTTTACTTCACAGGCACTAAAGCCATGAATCTAGTCCTGTGTCTCTTGAATCGGTAATGATTAATGAGTTTCAAACCCTTTAAAAATGCAAAAGGCAGTAGTTCAGAAAAGAAAGACTTCACCTGGCACAGAAAAGAAACAAGACCCTGCCATACAGCAACATAACCCAGTTATTGTCCAGGTATCCTTGCTGTCCAGGTACTCAGGTAGGGCTGGAATAAAGGTTACCGTGTTGAATGAGGATATAAGAATTTGAAACATTTGTCTTCCCAGCAATAGCTCACTGCTGCCATTTTAAAGAAAAGTGGACTCCCTGAGGCATCAAGTGTTGCCTGTGTGCTTGAAAGTGAGTATCCCTTGGAGCAGTGAGCTGAGAAATGTATCAAGGAATGTCAATTGCTCGATATGCAGAGAAATAGCTCCCAGGAATTTCAATCCAAAGTCAGCAGGGTTTAGGCTGGGTCTGCAGGGTGAAGCAGTCTCCATTTTAACACATACTGTGCATATGTTAAGCAAGAAAAAGTGGCTTCAGGGGCATCAAGTCCTGGAACTGTGGCTCTCAAGAGCATGAGTTTGAGGGGAAATGAGCATATATCCTAATCTAGGGATACAAGCACACTCTTTTCATTCTTCTAGCACCACTAATTGGATATTTTGCATCTGGTCTGTCCTGTTTTGCTAAGCTAGTAAAGTAAAATTTATTTCCTTTAGTCACCTTGAAATGAATTCATGTCAGTGGAGAGGCAAGAGAACATTCTCTGCATATGCTCTAAAGCTGCGTATTATGTTTACTGGATTAGGATGTCTGTGGTTTCCAGTTAAGAGAAAGAAATGAATTGTTGAGAAATGGGCAGGGCAGCTGTGGACTTCTGCACATGACTGCAGAATAAGAACTGAGTCTTGGGACATGGCTGATCCCACCTAGCAACTACTGTAGAGCCAAGACAATTTTGCAATGATTTGTAGTGCCAGACATCTTTCAATAAATCAAAGGATAATTTTCTTGTTTAAATCAGTTGCCTTCTTTCGTTGAGGTGTTGGTTGTTCATTTCTACGCTTTTCATAAGCAGCTCTGTATCCAACAGAAACATCCTATAAAGCCACTTGCTGGTTATTGCCCTCTCTTTCAGCTGGTCTTTGTGTTCAGAGACTCCCAGAGATGCATCTAATGGAGAATTACTGCTCTCTCATGTTTCTCCAGCTTCACGTGAATACTGACAGACACCCCTTGAACTTCTGATCCTAAAGGTTTTCACACGCTCACTTCCAGTGAAGGCACACACAGGGGCATCCAGATCACTTGCTGAGGAGATGGGGGAAATAAATTCATGCAAATCAGTAAAAGATCCCCAAACAAACTGAAGATGGTGGGCACATTAATTTGTAGCTTTTCATTTCCTTTTCTGTGAAATCTCCAGCTCCTTTTCACTAACCCTCAAGTGAGTAGAAAAAGAGTTGGAAGAGTCCAACTCTACCTTAAAGTATCAGCAAAAGGCAAGATTTGCACAGTATTTGCATATTAGCCTTATCTTTGCTATAGGTCTGTTTGAAGGAATTATTCTGTACACTCAACCACGTGTAGGCAGAATTGCAAACAATGAAAATTTGGTCCAAAATTCCATAGTATCAGACAATACACAAAATAAGTGATACAATTTAAAAATTGAAAGCAAAAATAAAGAGTACAAACCATTTATTTTTGAGCAAATATCCTATACAACTGTGGCTTGACTACCATTAAATTGCTAACAAAGTAATAGCAAAGAATCTGGTAAAATAGATTCTTGAAAATCTTTCAAGTCCTGCATTACATTTGGAATGGTTTCAAATATCGGAAAAATCCAAACCTCACCTCTAAGGATCTTATTCAGCTTGCATCTTGTACAACTTTTACAGTTTATAACTGGATAAGTGTTGATGCATAAAGCTGTAATTCGCCAGTGTTGATCACAATTCATATTAAAATAAATAAGCAAACATACTAAGATGATACAAGCCGAGCATACAGAATTAATCCTAATTACACTTGATCAGAGGGATTCAAGTAAACAGTCACACTATGAAATTTCCAAAAGAAAAACAATCTAGAAGCAATGTTCTCACCACCTTCTCAGAGGAATTTTCTCCTGATACTAGCATTACTCCTATAAACCCATTGGCTAAATTTATAAAATAACACGTTTAAAGGTAAATTATAAAACTAATACATTTAAAAAATGGTTCTTCGTCATCTAAAATATAATAAGTTGGACCTTCATCTTTCAGATATGTCACCAAAGCAGGGACTCTTTACACTTAAATCTTGAAAAGTTAAGCACTAGGTTCATTCATATTTTCAATGTAGATCCAGCTTATCCAAGATACCGATTTAAGAAGGATCCACCTTTTCCACCCAAAATGCCTTGCTTTTATTCAACTCATGAAGACAGATGTCTATTTTTCTTCCCCAGGAGGAAGGAAGAAATGTAGAAGGCTATTTTAAACCATACAGTGAATTTTTACATGGCTCAAATTACGTGTGATATATGGTCAGGTAAGTGAGGATTTCTAGGTTTCTCTGTCACAATGGGAGTTATGAACCTAACTGTGTTTGTAATTTTCTCCTGTTAGGGTACAATTTAGTGTCCCACAATACCAACAGAACCACTCTTGATGTGTTTGGTCAGCACAAAAGAAAAATCAAACCATCATACTGGATGTCTATAGCCAGCAGACATGTCCATCTGAGGATTTGAATTGCAATTTATATCAAATATGAACACCCAGGTAGCTTTTGATCCATCCTCTTTAACTTCTCATATGCAAAAGGAAGGCCTGCACAGCATACAGCAGCACACTAATAAATATCAAAATAGCTTTGTGTGTTTGAAGGCTGCTATTCACTTAGGAAATGAGGAATCCATATCATCTCATTGCTGGCATTAACAACGTCATCACAGTTTTCACACACCAAGCCCACTCTTGCAGCAGTCTTTAATGCAAAGTGAAAAAGAAAAAGATCTCCAAAATCATCAAAGTGCATGTTCTGCCCCTCTAACACAGGAGTGACATGGCAGTACCCCCTCAGGGGAAGTGGTGGGTGTGCTGCTGTCCCCAGGTGATGCAGATGCACCATGGTTCAGAGGTGGAGAGGGGACAGGGAGGTGGGTAGGAGAGTCAAAGCTTCAGCATCCTTGCTTCTGTGTGTATTGGGCAGATGATATCCCCCGTGGGAACACCCAGGAGAGCACAGAGTGGTCATAACTGCACTTTGGTTTGTGGCAGCAGGACATGTTTCTAGGAGGGAAAGAAAAATACTGTTGTTAAAGTTTAGCTGGAGGGAATATTTGTTCTTGTGACCTCAGTGGAATAAGAACCACATGTCATGTTTGTTTGAGACACACACACTGAGCCATCAGCTCAGCAACTACTTGGGGGGCAGAAATTATCCATTATCTTTTTAACGGACTTTAATTCAGTATTTTAATTGTTTTATGACCACACATCAGAGGTGTTATTATTACCACTGCCATGAAAATTGCTATGAATGAAGTAGCATCTCTCCAAGAGAAAAATTATCTATTTTCTTGGGTGGGTAAGGGAATAGAAGCTGTTGTTTTTCTGACACATGCTGAGAAATACTTAGGAAATATCACTAATTTTCAGGGCAGAAAGGAGGAGCACTTAATGTCTGCAACTGATAGCTTGTGCCCTTGAAAAATGATATGCTGCAAGGAGAAAATATGTAGTTCTGAAGTGTGTCTCCCTTATGTCTCAAAGCATCAGGAATAAGTGATTTTAATGGATTATTAAAAACTTCCCCCCCACTATGATTGCACTGTAGGGAGCTGCCATCAGCAGTGACCTACTTGCTGTCATGGCAGAAATGTGTGTTTCAGATTCTGGCCTAAATGCAGATGATTGCTGGTTGGTGCTTCTCCATCTGCAGTGTAATAGAAAATAAATAACATCTGCCAGAGGGCCCTGTTTGCTTTGCAAGTAGATTCAGTTGGGTTCCCTTTCCTTGCCCATACAGTGGTGTGGGTATGTGTGCCTGCACTCGCAGATGGCAGGCACATGAGTGCTAGCCTCAGGATCTTCAGTATATACATTAGTGCTGCACTGGGCTATGTGTTTTATTCGTAAAGGGCTGTCAACCACGAGCTCTCTGAACCTGTGCCAGAGAATCAAGAGATCTATTTTAGAATGCTATGCTCATTTTCTATGCTTTCTAGGGGGCTCTCAAGACACATTTCCAAGCTTCACCATGCAATCATGGAGAACTCTTCTTTTCCAAAATGTCAGATTTGCTAGGGGTGGTGACAGCATGTTCTGAGCGAGTTGGTCAGTCCCATGCTTCTTGGGCCTTTCATGGCTTTACTACAGACCAGCAATTAACATCGCAGGCATTGGCAATGCTACTGATCAGAAAAGAGTCATTCCTCAACAAACCTTGCTGTGTTATTAAAGGCACCAATTCAAACATGTAAGGCTTATACGTGGAGAAGGAAATGTTTCAGCTCTTCTGGGAGGAGAAGTCCGGTTATTTTTTGATGTTGCTTGTGTCCAAAGCACCTCCTGATGCACAGGCGGCACAATTGCATCAAGGACAGCGGCCCTGGAGAAAGAGGCAGGAAAAAAGTTACACATGTGGCTTTATCACTCCAAAATTATTAACCTGAAAGCATCAGCTGTGCATCACTGCTCCCCCCACCTCCTGCAACCTGCCTCGTGCCAGGGGTGCATGGGCCCCAGAATGCTCAGCAGTGAAAGACCAGACCTGCACCCACCAAAGGACATCAGCCCACCTGCAGTGCACTTCAACCCTAGTTAGTCACTCTCTGTCATTACACAGTCACAATTAGCATTAGCAGTGTCAGTCTTTCCCTTTTAAGCTGCATGAAACAGTTTGTGTTGTCTAAGAAGAGATGATTGATGTTTCTTTCAAAGTCCTTTCCCTCTCACTTCTCCAGTGAGATCCAAGTTTGCAACCCACTTCTTGCTCGAGGCTGACAGTCAGAGAGGCTATAGAAGGGCAGATAAGAAGGGTGCAAGGAGGCAGCAGCAGCAAGCGTGGACTAAGGGTGGGGTGCTGCGAGTGGGGAGGAGATAAGAAAAGGCACTGTAGGAAGCAAAAGGGAGGCAGGTGAGCTGGGAGAGGACAATTTAGGTACCACATGACGTGCCTGCCTGCTGGGCAGCTAGGATAGCAGTGACCAGGGAGCTGAAGTGTTAGCAGAGGAGTACAATGCACTGGGAAAGAACAGGGGTTGCATCAAAAATGTAGTGAGATGACAGCTTTAATCAATTTTTGAGACTTCCCTCATGCAGGTTACCACATTTCCAGCAGATCTACAAGGCTGAAAACTGCTGTACTAGAAGGGCTGTACGAAGAGCTGCACCCTTCTGCTAAAGTCAGCAAATGAGTTGAGTTAGTTACCCAAAGGCTAGGTACAAAACAAGGCAAGCCAATATAGAACAAGTTAAATTGGCTATTGTAGTGTCACGCTGTGTATGTCTTCGGCCATTCTAATCCCACAGGTAAATGCCCTGCCTGTAAACATCTCATTTTAAAAAGCTTCAATTAAATAAATAAAAATTACTTCAAATCTAACAACTTACCAAAACACTGGAAAATATTTAGCAAGCACAAACATAGTCCTTAAAAACACAGTGCATTTCTGGATCATCAGCTAGTTCTCCAGCCCACAAGTAGGACTTTCTCTCCAATGCATTCAGGGTATGCGGTGGTCTGGTAGGATGGTGAAGTAATGGGAAGGGAGACCACCACATGTACTACACCTGTTCTGGACTAGTCCTAGGGTGACTAGGTGAGCACACTCACCAACTCATCTCTGGGGGGGGAAACATACTGCAGATGCTGCCCCCAGAAATTGTAGCATGGGGGGAGAGGGGCTGTGTGTGGGACAGGGACAGGAGAGCAGCAGCTCATTCATGCCAGAGCTGAGGGGCTGTGGGGCTGGCAGGGTGACTCTTAATCCTCACAGCACATCTCCAAACCTCTGTGTCAAACCAGAGGAGTAATGTTACAGCACTGTCATGGGTTGTAACTGACAGTTCAGCCAGCAAAAGAAGTTGGACATCAGCAGTCCATCAAGCATGACCCTATTCAGAGAAGGGCATGTTGGAGAACACCAGAAAAACACCACTCAGCAGCAAAATGCCTTTCAGACATTTATAGTTTCTGATGTCAATTGCTGGATTTCAGTTAGAAAAGTTCCTTACTGTGCTAGCTAGCTGTCAGCTCAGCCTGAGCAGTGGTTCTCAGGCCAGCTCCATAGGGTGTGCCTGAAACATTATCTCAAATAAACAGGACACACGTGGTGCCACAGGAGCTGGGAGTCTATTGCAGCAGGGATTTCAGCTGAAAAGAACACCACTGTGCACCATAGATTAGACTGTGAAACCAAATACCAGTTGCTCACACATAACATGCACAGCACAGTTTTTTTTATGCTCTTATGTTCCTGTCATTATTTCAAACATGGCCTGACTCATCACTTTGTTATTACAGTTTTACCTTGGTGTAAATTTTTTATGACAACAAATCACATCAACATCTAACTGGCATAACAGAGTCATGGACCACACCATCAGCAGCTTGTTTAAAATAATGAGAATAAAGATTATTTAGTAATGTATATATCTTACTGACTGAATGAGAACACAAGTACAACAATAAGTAGACACTAGAGAACTTATTCTAATTTTTCTCAATAAATTTTCTCAATTTATTTCTCAATAAATTTCTCAATAAATTTCTCAAAAAACAATAAAGTAAATAATTTTTTTTCTCTGTAATTCATTAAGATATTCATAATCTATAACATAAAATTACTTGGCACTATTTCTTTTACAGGTACACAATAAGCTCTTCCTAAACATTAAGCTTACAGTTTGATACTGTTGGATTATCCAGCACATAATGTTGACCTGTAAAAACAGACTAGTGTATAAATGTATATACATATATAAATATATATTCATTATATAATTTCTGTGCAATTTTCCTTAATCCTCACAAAAAAGCACATTTTTTCGTTTTAAAGATACTTTTGCACCTACGTAGGAACATGACCAAACAATTAAACAGCAAAGAACTAGATCAGTCTTTCAACGTACTTTTTTCTTTCCTCAATATTACATGCAGATATCTTAGTATGAGTATCACAGTTGTGGCTTCCAAGTCCCTGGCAGTGTTCCAGGTCAGGCTGCACAGGGCTTTGTGCAACTTGGTCTAGTGGAAGGTGTCCCTGCCCATGACAAGGGGGTTGGAACTGGATGATCTTTAAGGTCCCTTCCAACTCAAACCATTCTGTGATTCTATGATTCTATGCACTGAATATTTTCTGTTTCCAATTTTGCATTTATTCTGAGACAAGTGCCTGGCACAGACCTGATTGTCAGCATACTGTATAACCAAAGACCTGAGTCCTAGCACTCACTAGTTAGTCTCAACTCCCATCAGAGAAGATTGGCTGCCTGCTTGTCAGCACACTCCAGATAACACTCCTGGGTCTACTGTCTCAGACACAAGGGAACTGAGTGGTTCCAGCTGACTTCAGTGCTTTAGGCAGTCAGAAAAGGCTACCATTAATATCTAAGGAGTATTTTGTTTGTTTTTTTCACCCTAAACTCTATTTTGCATTATATTACAAGCTCCATATGATTGCTCTCCAATGCAGTAGATTCACAGATCAGAGGTCAAAAGATGAGTTATGGTTGTTGTCACTGTTAGTGCTCCACTATACACTTACACTAGAAAACACAGTGTCCATATGTTAGTGAATGGAATAAGCTTAGCTATTCTCAGTTTTATAGTGTGAGTAGCATGGAACAGTATAGTCTTTTGCAGCAGTTTGTTTTTTCCTTAACTAATCCTGACTGAAAGAATAAAATGAGTGTTAAGGTGCACCTTCTTTCTGCAGGAACAGTCGCCCCACAGGACTGCTGGGTGGTACCAGCTCCATCGGCCTCTTGCTTTCATCATTCTTCACCCAAATGTCTGCTCCAAAGTCAATCAGCAGTGTCACCAGCTCCACACTGCAATTCCTGGCAGCCGCATGCAGAGGGGAGTCCAGGCCCTTGCCACTGTTCACATTTGCTCCTGAACACCAAGACATGACAAAGAAAAATGACAAAGAATAATGGCTGTACAGTAGCCATTTTCCATTTCCCACACTAGCTGCTATTTCTCTGAACAATCCATAAATGCTCTAGCATCCACCAGAAGTGGATTTCCTTACACTGGCGCTTGGTACTACAGTTTGCACACGAACAACTCACACTGGTTGAGGAAGAGTGGGGTTGTGACTAAGAATATGATTCCAGAGGAACTGTGCATGAAGTCCTTCATTCACGGTTCAGCTCATGAATATCTTGAAGCAGGACAAAGATACAGTTCCACCTACGGCCCACCTTTGTTCCCCATCCCAGTGCCCCATTCCATTAAAATACGTGCAGGGTTTCAACCTGCTCTGTACTGGAGGCTTAAGCTGGTGGCATTTTCAAATGCCAAAGTATCTGTTGAGGAAAAAAATGTGAGGATGAAAAAGTTCTGGAGGCATAGTAGGCAGGTAGAGCAGGAAATAAACAAGCACCTCTGATGAGTGCTCCCCCATCTGTTATCCTTGGCTAATGGCTCCTAAAACACCCTAAGAAGGGTGAGCTGCAGAAGTAATTCTGAACTGTTCACAATGTTTTTATAGTACACACCCATCTATAGGAGACTGAAAAAACAAAACAAAACAAAACAAAAAACCCCAACAACAACAAAAAACACAAAAAAACACCAAAAAAACCACCCCACAAACAAACAAACAAACAAACCACAAAAAACCCAACCCCAAAATGGCACAAACCAGAAAATAATAGCCAAACATTTAACATTTAGGTTAATTTGTATTTTACTTCTTCCAAAAACCTAAAAGATCACTGTGTTAAATAATTATCTACCTACCTAAAAGGTGGGTAAAATGTTTTCCAAAATCCTATATAAAAATAATTGAGTCAGTTGTGTTGGGCAAACAGGGAGGAAAAGAAAAAAAGAGGTTTTTTTTCTGTCCGTGTCAAATAACTGTGGCATCACCCACACAGACACTGGAAAGGATGGTGTTTGTTCCAGCCACCAGTGGCCATGTGAAATCCAGGATCACCCATCATTTGTTGGGAACTGTAAACCTGAGTTCTGGTGTCAAGAAGACTCTGGTTACTATGCTGCCCCATTTAACTCAGGGTTGCCAATAAGAGCTAAACATCTTCAGGTCTCAGAGCAGGAACTTCTCTAAATCTTCAGTGCATAGAAAACCCAAAGATAGTTGTTGCAGGATGCAAAAATACAAGATCCTCTATTTTTCTCTTTACCTGACTCAAGCAGCTTCTTGGCACAGTTCACTTGCTGATTCTCACAAGCTACATAAAGTGGAGTACCCAGGTGTTTGATGTTATGGTCTATATTTACCCCATGGGATGCGAGGAGTTCAACACATTGCACGTGACCTTAAAAGGGATACAGGAAAAGTCAAATTCCCTATTGCAGTGGTGTAATTTGGCAATGATTCAATGTTTTGTTTTGTCAAGAGATAATAGTTTAACACTTTCTTCCACTCCAGTGTTTCCAACCTGGAAAACAGGAGCTGTAAAGCCACTGTTAGCAAAAACTGGCTAAATCCCTCACATTTTATCCAACTCATATCAGATGTCTACCAAAGATGAGATGAATCACACTGTGCTTTTGAAGATAGCCAGACAACTCCCTCAGATGTCCACATCATAGGTGACTGACTTGGACAATTCATTAGATGTAAGGAAGAAATTCTTCCCTGTGAGGGTAGTGAGGCACTGGCACCGGTTGCCCAGAGAAGCTATGGCTGCCTCATCCCTGGCAGTGTTCAAGGCCAGGCTGGACAGCCTGGTCTAGTGGGAGGTGCCCCTGCCCATGGCAGGGGGCTGGAACTGGATGAGCTTTAAGGTTCCTTCCAACCCAAACCATTCTATGATCCCCTTCCAGGTGTCACCCTGTGAACTCGGAGGCCCCAGGAGCCGAGCTGAGCTGCCCTCGATAAGCACCAGAAGTGGGAGGAACTGTATCACTTGTGAGGAGACCAACTAGGAAGGTATTTCACATGACCAAAGTCAAACAAATTATCTCTCTCTTCCACTTCAACACATTTCTAGCAACATGGAAAGGAGTGGTGATGCCTTTGAGATTACCTCTCTTAGCAGCTTCATGGATAGGTGACGCCAAGTCACAGGGTGGGTTTAGGCTGGCTCCGTGCTGCAGCAACAAATTCAAGCAAGCCACACTGCCGCTGACACAAGCGCTGAACAATGGAGTGTGCCAGTCCACAGTAACTCCATTCACCTGAGGGAAAATAGCACAATCAGGCTTTTTTGGGTTTTTTTTTAATCTTCTCAGTGTTTCGAAACAGATGAAAATTATCCAGTTTCTCAACAGAAAACAGGGGTTTCAATTTTTATTTAATTTATTGGGAAAAAAAAAGTTCCTGTTGGTTAGAAAGATTACAACCTTTTATTAAAAAGATAATTAAGAAAATCTTTTGAAAATTTGCCCCCAGGTCTCTCCCCCTGCAAAAGAATGTTGTACCAGTGCCACTCTGGCCTCTCTCAGGAGTTACCAAGTTACAAAGTTAAATGCATGCCCATTTCTGTAATCTCAGCTGAAACCCACCTGCCTGTAGCCCTCTCCTGAAACAGTGCATTTTTAGCTGAAAATGTGCAACCTTCATTTTGTTTTATTTTTTTAATTTTAAACTGAAAAGTAATAAATATACAGTGAGTTTTCTTACTCACTGTAATTCCAACATTAGCTTGAAAAGTAGAGGCCATAAGACACGCCTATTTCACTATTCTACTTGCATGTTTTTTTCAATTTTCTTCCCATTTTATCATGTTGATCCTAACAGTCCTACACCTCCACTTGAGACTCTTCATATCAACACCAATGAGATTAGTTTGTGCATCCTTAACTGTTGCAAGATTATAAAACCTTTGCAAGAAGAACTTCCCCTTATTCTTTCAGTAAATGATGAGAACACTGAAAGTTCATCTAAAGAACAGCAGTAACTTATTTATATCTGTGCTTTCTGGATTACTTTATTAAAAATGGCAGTTTATAACATGCACCTTAAGCAGAGCTAAGTACAAAGCGTAAATCACAGTGTAAATCGCTGGCATGAAATAGTATGTCACCTAGCATTAAAATATGATCATAAAATATATTAACACTAGAGATAATGGTCTATCTATCATGTACTCACCTGAGCACCATGTTTTAATAGGACACTGGCACAAGCAGCATGACCCCCTAGGCAGGCTTCATGCAGTGGAGACACCTGAGCTGCTGTAACAAGATTCACATCACTTCCCTGATGAAATAATGGAAAATATCATTGCAACCAACTACCAAATTCCCCCTAGAGAAAACAAAAAAACCCAACTTTTTAGCCTTAAAGCTTTATGTAATCAGACCTTTCTCAACTGCCTGGAGTTACTCATCTCAATAAGTAGAGAAAGAGGCTATGAGCCTTCCACACACTGCTAATCAGCGCAAAAAGCTGTTGTAGGCAGAGCACACTGTCCAATGGGACAATACAGATATCCTTTTAGGAACTCAGAATGATTTTTTTCTACTACACTATGGATAACAAAATCTGAAATAACAAAATGATGAAAAGTTGATACTAGAGTTCTTGGCAAGGTCATGACTGACACATTTTTACATCACTGCTCAAGCCTTCTGACTTCCTGCCTGCTGAGGCTGTGGTTGTTTGACTAGATCAAACATTGAAATGCTTTTGTGGTGTTTTCTGCTCCTTGTAGTGAGGCACACTGAAGGAAAGCCAGCCCCTGCATTAGAAACCATTGGTTTGGTTCTACAGGAATTTTTGTTTCTAGCATGCTTGATGGTCCAGAAGGTTAGGCTGGAAGAATCTCCAATATCCTTCCCTTCCCATCAACTCCTCCACAGGCTAAATCCAAGAATTTCAAAGAAATGGAGCAGTGAGGTTCAGGAATTGGTTCTCACCAGCCCTGCCCTGCTGTAGCAGGAGCAGGGGCCCTGGTACCCTCAGGCAATTCAGAAACAGATGTGTATGAAGCTGAAATGAAGTCTCAGCCAGAGCCTTGCCTAGATCTGGAGCTGCTCCTCATCCAGGGCACCAAACACTGCTTGAAGGTGCAGGAGTTGCAGAAGGAATTCTCCAGCTGCCCAGAGACCCCAGCAACCAGGGTTGCATCACCTGCACCAGAATTAAAGTACGACCCAAGGTATACCACCTTAATGTACAGAGCTTGCACTAGACAAAGAACTGCTCGTGGAAAAACCAACCCGTGAAAGGGTACCTGTTTGATGAGTTTCGTCAGAGTAAACAGGCGTCCATGGGTAGAAGCATCGTGTAAAGGAGACCAGTCTGAAACAAAGTCTGCATAAAAAGAAAGACAGGAAAAAGGCTAACAACTCCATGGACTGTCACATCAGCATACTTTACTTCAACTGCATGACACCAGCAAAACTCTCTTCTTCTATTTCATTACTTGAGCTTCCAAGTTTTCCTTGGAGCAGCTATAGGGAGAGAGTGAGACAAGAGGATAGCTTCTCTCTGAGTGTGTTTTTAACTCATCCTGTGCTGGTGCTGAGCAGCTGCACTCCCCTTCAGAAGATAAGAGAGGGATTTGCAGAAAATTGCATTGCTCTGACTGAGCTTGGCCTTCACATTGAACTACTTCCAGTGCCTTCGTATTCACAAGATCATTACACTTAACCAACTAGAGCAAAAGGACCACATTTTGAAGACATTATGCTCAGTCATTTACCTCTGCTCAGAGCTGGGCTGGAGTCAAACAATACCTGACAAGGAAGGTATCAAAATACAAGCTGTAGATTTTGCCTTTCAGTTTTCGGTGTTTGGTGCTAACCTCTGAAGTGGTGTATTTTAAATAATACCTGTACTCTCTGCATTGTTGAAACCACAAAGTGAGGTATAGCATGTATAAAACATAGAAATATTAATAGAAGGGGAACTTCAGTGGAATCTGGAAAGGGACTTTTTATAAGGGCATGTAGTAACAGGACAAAGGGGAATGGCTTTAAGCTGGAAGAGAGTACATTAAAAAAAATTCTCACTGTAGGGGTGGTGAGGCACTGTAACCCAGAGAGATACAGTGTGCTGGAACAGGGTGATAACCAACTGTGTCAGCCGTGTCCCCATCTGTTGCATTACTGCTCTCTCATCTTCAAGCATACTCAGTAAACGACATGAACTTTAAACAAGATAAGATCTAGTATACTGAGACTTACAATGGTTTTGTGGTTGGAAAATTTTGCAGTATGTAAATTGCAACCTGAGGATGGTGGTGTCTGAAACGTGTTTTTTATCACACACAGAATATCTTTGCCTGCATAACTATGTGAGGTAGAGGGATATTTTTCTGCCAGGATAGTGGCTGCAAAAGGTCTGCTATATGTTCATAGTTACCCTTGCAAGACACTTTTATGACCATGCAATATACTTGCCAAGAGTTGTTCATATAGGTGAAAGGATTATTTCTGCTACTACAATACACCATTTTTTGGTTACTTGATGTAGCACACTTTTGCAAACATGTACACATTGCATCTTACCATCTCTGAACAATGGCTCATAGATGGGCTAAACTAGGCTTTTGCTTTTCCCATTTAGAAACTAATGCCATTACTCAATCTGCATGAGTTGTAAGGGAAGCATGTTTATAGTAATTCTAAAAATCTAGATTGAAGAGCAAGTTTTCTGAGCTGCAGCTTGGCCTTTTTTTGGCCACACAAATACAGGTGGGGTTTTATGCAATCTACTAAGTTGTTATACGATTGTGTCAGCAGTCTTGTGACAAAAAGGGAGGTGCACAGTCATGTCATCACATACATGTGCAGAATTTTTCCATTCAGTGCTTTCTTGAGAAAAGACAGGTTTCTACTGAAACTCTAAAAAGAGCCAGACCAGAGTTGTCTGTGGACTGGCCACAAGCTTGTGATTTTGCCAAGTCTTAACAACGATACTAAAGACTGACCACATATTCATCAAAAATAAATGTCGGTGAAAAATAAAAAGAGGCATGTACCAACATGCAGTAATCCAGCTGGGAATTCTGGACTGAAAGGAACTTTCATCCTAAATGGAAGTGGAGGGCTATGGTAGCTTCACACCAGCCTTGGATACATTAGGAAGAAGGGGTTGAAAAACCTCTCTGATGACTAACTGCCATGGCATACTTACAAATCTGCTAAATCTGCTGTCATGAACATCATGGCCCCAAGCTGCCATCTCTCCTGCCCTAACTCCATTTGCAGCAAGCACTCCACCCTGAAGCAACACTGGGGAGGCAACCTCCCTGCAGGGGAAGGAAAGCTTCCTCAGTTCCTGCACCCAAGGCATCGCCCTCCAGCAAACCACAAAGTTTCTATTTTCTGCTTGCTCCAGGCTGGAACTGATGTTCCTTGGCTGGAGGAGGAGGAAGGCTGAAGTAGATGGTGGGGTCTCACTCCCTTCTGCATAGCACAAGAGGCAAACTGTCAGTAATACAAATGATCCATATTCATATCATTTTGATTAGAGCCTAAGAAAATGCCATGGACTTTTAATGCCATGGACTTTTAATCGTGAAATAGTGACTTTTTGGAGAGTCCTCAAAAAACTTTGCCCAGCAGAGCTGCCTAAGGAGTAGAAAGGCCAGTGTATGTGGGTGGCACAGCTGTGTATTACCACAGGAACAAGGATTTCTCATTGCCAAAAACATGTACAACTGTTCTTTCACAGAGGAATGAGACCATTTATCCCAATTTTAAGTTTACCCACACCTTAGTCCACAGGCAAGTTGAGTCAGGCCTCAATAGCTTCAGCATCTAGACATGCAAAACCCACTGTTTCAGTGGCATTGGGTCACCTTAGCTCCCCTTTTGCTACTGGAAATCCCAGCAAGCCCATTAAACCTCTTGTTTAATGGCACTGCCATCACTTGGACATGTGAATGCTGGCAGGGCTCAGTACACAGAGGGATCCTTGTAACAATAGCCACACAAACATGCGAACCCTGACCACCCTGTGTGGACAACAGAGCACTCATTTTTGTGGCGATGGTTGAAAGTATGTTTTTCCAGACTCTGATCAGGTGGAGGGTGTTGACACTCCATGCCTGTCCCCAGGCTAGTTTCCTTCCATAGCGGTCATGCACAGTGGAGCTTGCAAGGGGCTTTGAAATCATTTTGGCAGAGGTATGCTCTTGCATATGTATTTGCATATACATATGCCTATGGCATTATATATAACAGTATTACAAATGGTATTCTTCATATTCTAAGGCTTTCTCTAAAGTTTATGATATATGTAGCCTGAGACAAATACATTCCTGCTGTGAGTTTCTAGCAGAGCTTATTGACTCTGGTAAGGAACAGGCAGGCACAAGAGGAATAGAACGAACTCTGATTTTCAAAGGACCAAATGATCTATGTGGAAAAGTGCGGCATGTGGGCTCCCTTTCTCTCAGCCTCCATTTTGCTGGAGCTCATCTCCAGTGTGGACATGGTTCGATTCATATTGTTAATAACCTAGCTCCCACCCCAGCCTCAGGATGTACGTAAGTGACACGCATGAGGAAAGGCAGACTACACAGCAGATACACTGACCATCTTTGCATTGTGGTTTTAGGGTTTTAATTTTCTACGAGGTGTGAATGGAAGCATCCTGAATAGCCCAGTAAAGGAGTGAGTGTAAAGTCACATTATCTTAATTACCTCATTCCCTCTGCACTCACCATGAGCTGAACGAACAGCTTCTCAGATAACAGAACTACAGGGAACACATCCAGCTAAACTGTTACGTGAATTTAAATTACTTGTCTTTTGCCATCATGTCATATTTTCAATGGCTCTGGGCCAGACAACAGAACAATGATCAAAGTGAGGCCATTCGTCTAAATAACTCTTCACTGATGACCACAACCGCATTGGTCACAACTGACCACAATGCCCTGGCCATTGCAGAAGAGCCTGCTAGGGCTAATGGTTCAGCCTGAGGAACATTACTTAGGTCTGCTCATCTGAAAGAAAAAAAGGAAAAGGACAAATGATAAAGGATAAAGGGAAAGGAAAAGAAAAATACAGTAGAAAAATAGAAAAAAAAAATAAATTCCCCAAACCAAACAAGCAAAGCAAAAAAAAGGACAAAAAAAAAAAGTCAAAGAAAAAAGGAAAAAAAAAAGGATAAATAAAAAAAAGAAGAAAGATAAAAGGAGAAAGGAGAAAGGAAAGGAATGAGGAAGGGAATGAAAAGAGAGGAAAAAAAAACAAACAAGGGAAATTGAGTCGATGCTGAGCTGCCACATTGCAACTTCTTTTTCAGTGTGCTATGGTTTAAGTGTTGCATTTGTTTCCACTTGTACAAACTGTGGTACAGAATCATACCTTTTTTTTTCCTGTGATACACTAAAACTCACCAAAAATACAGTGTCAAATAGGAATAGCTTATTAAAATCCCATCTGAAGTAAGGAGACATGGGGACATACAGTAGGACTGACTTTGGACCTGCCCTGGAAGCAGAACATCAGGAGCAACACACCACTGTAGCCTGACCCAATCCTTTGCTGCCACTGGCAGAGGTGAAGTCTTGTGGCAAGGCAGGAGCATTACTTACCCCTCATCAGTGGGTTTGATAGAGACATTGCAGATGCCTGGCCTCTGGCTCCTTGCAGTTTGCTGCCTTTTTGATTTGCTACCTCATCATCCATCTCAGCCCCGTGTGTCCAATTTCTGTTTTTTCACTTCGTGGTCGGTCTCAAGAGTTCAAATTCCATCGTCCCCGGCAAGCTGCCAGTGGTGGGAGTGATCTATTAAGCAGACTCTGCATGCACGAGACAAACAGATCTTGAAACAGACCAGTACGTGGTGCCGGCAGCACTTTGTGCAGAAACTCGAGTACCTGGGTTGGGATTTAACGAAGCAGCTCCCTGGCTGCCCTGGTAGGCAGCCAGCGATCCGGCAAAGCGAGAGATGTGCCTGATGTCACATCCTCTCCAACACGGCACCCAATCGGGGCGCCCGCCGTCCGTTTTTATCAGGAAGGAAATTCTTAGTTTGCCAAAAAAACAAGACAGAAAGAGCCAGTTCAACTAGTTAAGCAAACTTTGCCTGCAGGGGATCTGCAAATAAAACCCACAGAGATATGAGCGTGTGCTGATCTGCACCACTTCCGAGCAAGATGTTTGCAGGCAACTTTGCTGCACGCCTCCCTGGACACTGTACACTGTGCAGAACCACTCCTCTTACCTGTCAAGCTCTGACTGTATGCAAGAAAAGGAGAGATGAATGCCTGCTGCACAGCAGTGATCACTGCATACCCTACAGATATTAAACCCACATGTCTGGGGAGCTGTACTTCCCACTGGAGGCCCTGTGCTCTCTGCATGGTGTGGAAATCACAGCACCGCACAGGCTTATTTTCTTGTCTCCTAGTTCAATCGATTTCACTGAGTCACAGTCACATCAGAGTTCCCTATCTAAGCAGTGTCCTTTTATTTTCAAGCAATTTCTCTGTCTAAAATAAGCATCATGGACCTACCAGCAAACAAATGGCAACGTTTTGTCAGGAGGGCTTACGCCTCATTTGTCTGGGTCTGTTCACAAAAATTCTATTCTCACGGATCACCTGCATTTACACCTTTTTCTTTCCCACATTAGTATAATTCACAGGCACAAAATCCTTCTTCTGTCCCTAAATATTTGCCCATTTTCATACAAGTGTAGAAATTCCATGCAAAAGTCTAAACAATGTTAATAAAAATTAAGCTATTGTAGGGATTTTTTTTCTGCCTACTAGAGCAGAATTTGCATTTGTGTATTTAGAGATATAAAGTTACTAATCCTGGGCTAATCCTGATCCTACCTCAGCTGAGTCTAAGCAACTTGGTTTAATTTTTATTCCTATCTATATCACATTCAAGAGATCTGAGATGTCCCCTTCTGAATTCCTCCTGGCTCCTGGGTTTAGCTCTGCATGATGGATTCAAGGTAACACTTTGCTCTGACTGGAAATTACATCTGCGCCTTAGTTATTGAAATTTCTGTATTAAAGGAGTTGTGGGTAAAACATGTAAATGAAAAAAGTGGCATAAATATTGGGTTTGACAGTTAATATGTGAAATGAGGATTGGAAAAAAAAATTCCCCGTTTACTGTTGCTTGAGTTTGATGGTTAGGTTGCCATATCTTATATATGATCATATCTTCAGCAGTATTTAAAAACAAGCAGCAATTCCACCACTAAAAAAAAACCAGCTTATGCATCTAAATATGCAATAATAAGGTTTATAAGTGAAGAAGTATTAGTTAAGAGTTAATGTACAATAAGATGAAGGAATAAGACAGAAATTCCTTGGTTCCTGGTCACCCACAGACAGTGAGATCTTGGCCATTTTATTGTTTGACTAAAAGGCCTACTGACTCATAGGGTAATTGAATAGTCTGTTATTGGTTGCACATATTTTGGTCATGTGTTACATCAACCTTTGCCTTGACAGATGAGCTGTAGCCATGTCTTCCTGGACGGCTGTAAGGGTGTACAGAGCACCTAAGGGTGCTGATGAGCCTGCAGCCCACTCCGTAGTGGCAGATATCCCTGCCCTTCCTCACCCCTTCAAAGGGTGTCTCCAAGATCCCCTCAGCAGGGTGATAGTCCACGGGCATGCTTATGCTGAGCTGTTGGTGTCCTGGTCCACATGTATTTGTATCTCAGGGAGTAAATGACACAGGTTTCACAAAAGGAGTTTCTGTTTTGATCACACTTGTCTTCCAAAGCACCAGAGTGGCAGAGACTGGGGTGAAGCCAGAATAAGCACAGGATCCAGTTGCCAGTTGCTCAGAATTGTGAGTCCTTTTCTGGGCTACAGAACCACACTCTGTGATTTCACTCTTTGGCCATGATTTCCCTTTTGTTCATGGTATAATCCCAAATAACTAGATACCGAGACATTATTTTCCAGTCACAGGTCCAGAAATAGTTTTCTTGCAGTTTGTGAAAATGCAGGTTTCTGGGTTTCCCCACCCTTTGTCTTTGTCCTGTGTGGTACCCACCACATGCACACCTTCTCCAAAAAGAATTATTTTCTGTTTTGCCAGATTTCATCTTTCAGCAATTTTCTGTCATACACATTAACAAGGCTCATACTTTCTACAGTTGTAAGGAGTCTCATTTTAAACTCAGCTGAGTTTGTAGTAAAGGCACAAGTTTTACTTTACTTTACAAGTTTTACTAAGGCTGAGTTAGAAACACGGAGAACAGAGTGAGAAAGAAAGACATGCCGATTTTCTTCCCAATTGCACAAATTGTACTCCTTTCTCTTTGCTGTGATTTTCCCCACAACAGTACAGGCAGCCAGGAAATCAGCATGTGAGGTTCCTAAAACCTGTAAGACACATACTATAATCTTTCAAGATTAAAGCCTTATTGGTTATATCTACATCGGCAATGAAGCATGGTTCCCTTCATCAGCGAGCTCCTGGAAGCTTCAGAGAGCAGATTTAAGCCCTGAAGTATTGCTTTAATGTGAGCCCAACCTCTGCTTCACCTAATTTGCAAGTGCGGGGTATGCTCAGAACTGAGAATGTAGCCCATATACTGCATATATGCAGTGAGACTACATCAGAGAGTAGTTTGCAAATCATTTTTGGAAGCAAGCAGAAAATTCTCCAGTTACAAGGGAACATGTTTTAACATCAACCTGGATCTCGAGGTAAACACCACACAACTTCAAATGCAGATCAGAAACAGCTTACACAACATAGAGACACACCAGCGATTTTAGTAATTACAATACTATTTTGCATGTAAATAGCACCTACATCCCTAAGTTCTACCTAAGTGAAGTTAGCTACAGAAATCACTTCATCATCGTTCAAATGTGACCACTCACAGTCAAAAGAGGTGCACAGTAACCTTGAATCTGCAACACTCATTATTACTTTTTCTGTTTGCAGCATATCTTCTAAATGAAATAACATATTTTCTCCTTCAAAAATTTAACTTTATATAAGTAATTCAAATAAATGTTCTACTATCTTGTTTGTTTCTCCCACTTGCTAATCAGTTTTTAAATTTTGCATACCAATTATTCGTCATAGAAAATACTTCAAAAATGTATAAAACTTTTTAATTATTCTTATTTGCACAAATATTGCTACAAACAGTAAAAACGCACTGCTGATATATCTGTCATAGCATGCAAATATAGAGTTGTTTTCTGAGGGTGCAAACCACAAAACTGGAGAAAATATTTGGAAATTGGACACAAAATGTGGGGTTCATTTAATTTACCTTCAGAGCCAGAGCCAGAAATCATAACTTTCCTTTAGAGCTAATGAAGAGAAATGGGCATTTTAAGACCATGATTCATGTCACCTACTTTAGATGCCTGCTCTGACAGAGCACAAATTGGGCCTTTAGAGTCAGCCTTCACCAACTCTAAAAGGAAGCCCTAAATGGTGAAGAGAGATCCAGGTGTGTATGTTCAATCAGTGAAACCCACCTTAAGAGTATGGATAAATCACAGCCAAATGACCGGACCCTACCCACTCGTCAGCAGTGTTCTGGACTTTGTGCCGCGCAACCTCTGGATGCAACAGCACAGGGTGAAACATCTTCACTCCAGCAGAAGGCCAGCATTGGCCAGTTCCTGAACCATGAAACCTTGGCTTTGGAGCACCTATACCTCAAAGGGGAGGATTTTGACAGACAGTTCTAGCAGATTTAGGTGCAGTGGTCTAAGCTGTTGGCCTCTGTCCCCATTCCTCACTTTCAGCAAAGATTACCCTTACAAGGGATGGCAGCACTGGCAGCAAATTGATGCTTCAACTATCTTCATATGTAGTCCACTGTGCTATTTCAAAACGCCAAAAAAGCCGTTTTCTTCTCTAGCCTGTAAACTTGAGCCCTGAGACACTATCACATGTCACATTCTCCTCCAAGGCAGTAATTTCCAGCCAATGAGCAAGGCAAATATCTGGGACAGCCATGTTTTAAATCACAGCAGCTAAATCTTCCACAGCTTGTCCTCAGAAATACTAAATCACTGGCATCTTTTCCAGAGGTACCTGGATTTTCTTTGGAAAGCTGCTGTGAAATCTTTGAGCAGACATGAAGTAAAGAAGCTCTCCCTTGGAGAAATCTGTAGTACTGTCCAGTTCTTGTAACCCCAATTTCCTTTCCTCAAATCAAGTCTCTCCTCGAGAGGCTTTTCTTCTAAGTGCTCTGAATACACAATGTTTTCATTTTCCTTTTCTCTCACCCTCACAGAAACTTCACTTTGCAAACGTCCCATTAGCCTGACTGGGGACCAGGCAGACTTCTGCAAGTAACTATTGTTCCCTTACGCAGGTTGGCAGTTTTACTTAACAAGGGAGTCTCTAAATCAAAGCAAACATACACTGAAGGAATAGCAAACACTTCTTGGTGTCAGTGGCACCTAGATCTGTGTTTTAACTCATTGCAGATACACAGAAGCATCAAGATTTCCCAGGGAGCAGGACAAACTTAGCATGAGAGCTTGCACACAAGTTTCTTGTATTTTCTTTGTGGCAGGCACGGGATTAGGGGCATCCTACTCACAGAGAGAAGAGCAGCAACACTAGATTTTTCACTGTCTGGAGCCAGATGTGTCTCAGCGAACACCTGCACAAGCATCTTCATATGCTACAAAACAAATCTTGACATTGCTTTCTAAACTGGCTTTAAGACTTACACACTACAGTCCATGCAAAAAGAATATAGACCCCAAAAGTTTTTTGTTGTGTTTTTTTACTTTTTTTTACTTTTTTTTTTTTCAAAATCATTGCAATTCCAAGCCTTTCTTGGGTTTGGGTTGGTTTTTTTCATCCTGTCTCATGGATTGTAATCATGTTTTGGCAACACTGCCAGGTTACTAGTGTGGTGAAATGATCTCATGTGACAAATACACACCAGTAAGCAGATAACAAGTGTAACTACAGCAAAACCCTAAACTTTGTAATTGAGAGCTATGGTGGTTTTTACTACAGTCTCCTAGATTTTGGCTAACTGTAAGGTAGTCTTCCCAAACACCAAATATAAGTGAAATCCAAATCCAGGAATCAAGAAGATTTCAATTTCTCTTTCCTCCTCTTTTCTAACTTCTCATTATTAGTTTTGAAAAAAAGTGGGAATTCTTTGGTTTGCTGGCAAATCTTTTTGGTTCCCAACCTTTCCTATATAAGCAATTTCTGAAGAAAGCAAAATAATTTCCACAAAGATATTAATTTTGTCAGAAACCCAATTTCCATTAACAAAAAAAACCAAACAAAAGTTAATGATAGTTTTCTGTTAATCCCAGTGATTAGATCAGCATGGAAAAAAACAAATGCGTCACAAGCAAGACCAGCATCACTGGAGTCAGCTGAGTTGGCCTTGCTAAGCAGCACCCATAGCGTCTGGTCCCATGAAGGGCATATTCTCCATTATGCAAGCCTCCAGCAAATACATCACCTTCCCAAGCCCAAAGGCCTGTGATGTTTTTTACCAAACCAAGCAAATTTCCATGTGTCCCCTTAGTTGCTCTCTCTTCTCATTGCCTATCAGTACAGGAGGCAACAGCAGTAACAGCTGAGGAGTATAGGAAAGTCAGACAGGAGGGGAAGAAAAAGCTCATGGGACAGAGGTATTTAATTAAGGGGCTCCTCTGCTCTGGTGTTTCTCTTCCCCATTTTCAATGGCATTAGGTGTTCTCTGTTCTTCTGGCACATTGCATTGCAACAAGCTCTTCCACCCACACTTACGGGCTGCTTTCCAGACCCTGATGGAGCTTACCTCTGGAGATGTCCCTCATGTGACCTATATTTTCACACTTCTGCCTCTGATGGGAACAGCATGCTCCAGCTGTTCTCACAGCCATGGCCTCCAAGGACTTCTCCATGGGAAAGTTAGTGACACCTTGTCACTACTATAAAATGCAATCTGTGAACTTGCACAAAAATAAGCCCATGCTCCCTTAAACACTTGTCCTGAAGAGGGGATTCTGTTGGCTTAAAAAAATGGCCTGCAGAAAGCTACACTACCAGCACAACTGCTTGGGAAATAAGGCAGACAGAGGAAAATCTCCCCAAACCTCGCATCCGTTTCTGTTCCCTGGCATAGCAGGTGTTCTCATTTTCTTTTGGAAAAGGTTATTAGCAAACTTCTAAAATGGGTGAAATTCCAAGGCTGTCCTGAGCAACCTACTTACCCTGCCCTGCTCCCGGAAGATGGCATGCAGTGCTCTGGAGAAAAGGGCATGTGCAATAGCCTATGTCAAGACCATAGGACCTGAACTGTTCCTAACATGATCTTCAGTCATAAGAAACCCATACTCCTGGTACTGGACAGATTAACTACTCAGATCAGGAGCTATCACTTTCTGTATGCAAAGTTGGGGCTGCAGCAAGCAGCTATCTACAGCACTAGCGTGCCTTGGTAGATGTTTCCTTTGCTGTCCCCAAGCACGGTTTGGCTTTTGTTTTGCATGAGGCTGGAAATCCTCTGAAACAGCTAACGGATGCTGATTCACAATGCTGATATTGTAGAAACAAGTTTCCTTTCCTAAAGGATTATGATCTGAGCACAGTGACAAGTATAAAAGCTTGTCCTGGTTACACTCATCCAGCCTGGCCACTTAGCTGAATATCTGATGCTGTGAAAGAAGGTAAAAAAGGAAAGCCCCTCTGGAAACTGATGTACAGAGTGCAAAGCTTACCTGAAACTGAAGCATAAAGACCAAATTGTGTAGCAGGGCTGCCTAGCCCTTCTCTTCACCCAGCTGTGGGGACATTCCTTGTGCACAGCAGGCTCCAGCTGACCTCTCCCAAGGCATGTGGGCCACTCCACATCAGGTCCTGGGATCATCCCCTGTATTCCAGACGAGGAATGACAGAGCCTCCCTGGGACCCTGACTGTCCTTTGGCTGGTGGTGGTGAAGAAAAGGTTTGCACTCATCTCTCACCCTGGCAAGGGAGCAGGGAGGCAGCAGGACCAGACCCACCTGCATCCTCCCCACCTGCGCACCCCCTCAGACTGTTTGGAGGGACCAGTTCTTCATGTACTTGCTCTCTACAGAGGAGACCTGGGAGCTGCCTGCAGCTGCAGACCACAAAACAAGAGTTCTCCTGATCATTCTCCATCTTAGAAAGGTGAGCGGGTTGCACCCAGATGTTATTTTCTCACCATCTCTCCTCATGACAGCACTGGGGCAGGCATCTGCAGACCTGAAGCAACCATTGTGCTCAGCTTATCATTTTTTAATGAAGACAAAGTCTGCCACAAGGATGAGCCTTTTTAGGTGCCAAGCCTGAGACACATCCAAAAAAAACCAACATCTGTACCAAGTGATTTCATGATCAGTGACAAATCCATATTTCTTCCTCAAGCTGCTGCAAGTGTGAAAAGCCTAGGTATTTCTCATCCATTTGCAATAGGTGAGTAGCAGACAGGGACATTTTCTGCACAAAGTGAATCATTTCAGCTCAAAGTCTTTAATAAATGTCAACAAGCGGCCACCCATCCAGCAGAGCAGCTGTGGTACCTTGTTACTGTGGCTGCTTCCAGCGGATGGGAGGGGAGTGCTTTAGGGACAGAACTGGAAAGCATGTCAAACAAAAAAAAGCAATGTCAGGCCCAGGGTGAGATTTCCTACCCCCCCTACGCCAACAGCTAGTGGGAACCTGCTTGTGGAAACAGGCTGGCATTACTTGTTGGCATTGTTTTAGAGGAAAGTTTTCATTTCAGTCTTGGAAAACCCCAACCCAAAATATGTGTTCCTCAGTAGCTGCAGTTATTCAGGATTTCACATATATGACTTGCTGTAAATCTGTAGCAATCCTGAAAGCACACGTAGCAAATCAAAATGGTCTCACTCATTAATTATCAGCCATTCTGGGATATTTGGGGATGAGTGATCTTTCCTTGACAGGTACTCAGTGATGACAGGCACAAAACTCCTGGGCCACAAACCCAAAGTATCTTTATACACATCTCAGGCTAGAGGCAGCAGGCACTCATCTGAAACTGTTAGAAGCAAGCATCTCTTTGAAGGATAATGAGATACAAATATGTGAAGGATGTGCCTCTGGGTACTGAAAAATATGTTCAATATATGTGCAATTTTATCCAGTGCTAGTAAGTACATATATTAGTTGCAGTGTTTTGCTGGCTAATGTGTTGCTTTAACTGACTTGTTAAACAAACTGCTAGAATAACATGCTCTGCTGATTCATTTCTCTCCTCCCTTACGGATGTTATTCTCAACTGGATATGCAAAATGTGCTTTCTTCCAGAATTCCCTATACCTCTTACTGAAGATTTTTCAATTCAAAACCTGACATAGTTTTCCATTTGCTTGCAATGTGCATCATGAGTTTCTACAAATGATAAAAACTTCAAGGATAAAGGCATTTTTATGAAACAGAAAACAATTAGAAGATCTGTGTGGAATAATCTGTATTTTACATTAACATATTATACATCTCTCACAGAACATTAAAAAAAAATCAGAAAGAGGAGCAACTAGTGTGTAGAAAAACTGAATTTCTGAAAAAAAAAAATCACAAAGACATCATGAACTGTCAGCCCAGCATACAAGTCAGCCAGATTTTTCAACTAAGAGTCAATGAAAGTGTTTAATTTTCATTATTGTTATTATTTCAAAACTTGCCCTAATGCCCTGCTGGGACACACCACCAATATTTTCAGTCCAATAAGGACTGGAGTGTTGTTAGATGCCAGCAGCAGAGTTGTGCTGCAGAAGACAGCGGTCAGGTATGGGACAGAAAGGTGTCGGGCAGAACCTGTGCTTACTGCCCCACAGAGCAGACCACAAGTGGAGAGCAGAGAGTGGCATGGAGGGGACACTCACCCCATTGCAAGGATTTGTACAGGCACAGCACAACACCAATTTCTAACATTGATGGTGAGAAGAATTCTAAATGCCATGAAGTGGATATTGACCAGGCTTGAGTTCCCTAAGGGGAAAACAGAGCCTGGAGAGCATGAGTTTCTGGTCCCTCTGCCTGAAGTGGCACAGGCATGCCTTGTCACAAGAAGAGGGAGCACAAAGATGGACGGATAAACAGCCACCCCCAGATCCTGCATCTGACCAGGAACATGGGATACTGGCATCTCAAGGCAGATGTGAGGAATTTCAGCTCCTATAGCATGACCACGAGTTTCAGCAGCTCAGCATATTCCCCATTTTATTAATTTCAGTGTGTGAATGGGAGATTCAACAAGACATACAGAAAATCAGGGACTAGCACATCTGCTGTGAAAAGGCTGAGTCCTAGAAAGAATAGAGGGCTGTTAAATGCTGATAGCAGAGTTGCCTTGTAAGAGACAAAGTCATCTTGAACCCAGCAGATTGCTCAGGAGATCAAAACAGACATCTTTCAGGGTCCAACTTAAAATGTGACTTTTTCTACCTACTGTGAGAAACATCGTCATTAAACCCTTTCAAAATGTGTTGGTGTGTTTATTTTAACTGTTGTATGTCCTTGAGAAGCTGGCCCATTAGCCAGAAGGCAGGGAGGGCTGAAATGTGTAAGTTTGGAAGTTGGGGGGGGAGGGGAGGATGACCCAACACAGCAGCATGGTAAGCAAGGGAAATAATATAGCCAACAAGGAGATAGGCCGAGCCTCACTAAGATGCCTGCTGTTGAAGAATTAAACTTCTCAAGGAAGAAACTAAAAAACTTTTGCTTAGTGACAGAGAAGAAATACGTGAATTCAGGAGAAAGCTGAGCAGGAAAGATATGCCTATGAACAAGAGCTTAGTCGTGTCAGAAAAGATACAGCAGGAAGAAAAACAAAGGATTGCAAAGATGTTTGGAGACACGGGAATGCATCTACCGGTAGAAAGAACCAGTGAAGACTGCTTATTTTAAAGATAAAGACTGCTTATTTTAAAGAGAAAGACAGTGCTGATACAAAGACCATTTAATTTTATTTTGCTCTGGATCATGAGCAATAATAAACATACACTGAGTAATGAATGACAGCTTGAAGTCAGCATCTGATGAGGTCCTCATCATTGGCATTTCTGAGCCCACACTGGATCTCTCATAGTAAATGAGTAAGAAAACTGAAAACTAGCCCAACAGATTGACATCAATGAAAGGAAGTCTTCTGGGTGTATATTGCAGATCAGTAACCTATTTAAGACACTCCTGTAAAATACACTCAAGATCAGGGACTTTATGGCGAGAGAGCATCCATAGCCCAAGCTTGTGTTTTATACTTCAAGTCAGTGCTTGTACTCAGAATGAGTAAGTGTTCATAGTTCGGAAAAACTTTTCCAATAACCAGCATATTGTGTAATCATTCCTGTTAAGATGTGCAGCACTTTCCACTGAAGGAGATAGTAGTGGCAGTTGTTGGGGATAAACTGCCAGGGATGTGGTATAGCAGTGGATATTACAGCACAGAAAAATGTCTGTGTTTCCAGAAGAAAAAAAACCCACATATTTTAGCCAAACAACTGGTTTCTGTCAACGATCTTAGAATGACTGAGAAGACACCACCTGTTTTGTAGGAAAGCGACTTTGTGAGATTATTTGTCCCTTCTCCCTCCTGGGGAAAAGCAGCTGCATCCACACCAGGGAGATGGTTTTCAAAGTCATTCTTAAAAGTCACCAACAAGATTCAGAAGTCTCCTAGAAAACTGTCCCAGTCATTCCCTACCCTTACATAATATGGCATAGCTGCAAAAAAAATTAAATACCTCCTCCAGTTATTTCCTCACTGGTATTTCCTTGCACTGTTACAACATAAAGCACAGTCAGTGAGAACGAAATGGGTAACTCTATCTTTTAAAATAGAGCAAGAAAGTCTAGGTAAAGTTTCTGAGGAAATTTCTTAACATCAGGACTTCTGAGCTTCTCTTCCGATTTATTATGTCTCTGTTCCCCCCAGATGGTCTGATGCACAGAAATTCGGGAAGAATGATGTCTCCAGGAAGAAGCAAAGGTGAGGTGATTTTTTGATTGGAAGCTAATGTCAGCAATAAATATAGAGCAGCTTCTGCTGCTTCTTACCATAAACCTTTCTGAGAGGCTGAATAGACTTCACATTTCCTTAATAGAGATACATTTTTTCAATTTAAATTCCTCTGCAAGTGAAATACTACTTTCACTGATATTGCAGTAGGAAATCAATTCAGTATTACAAATTCTGAAATAGATCACATAAATTGCCTTAGCGGCTTTGATTGCAGTGCAAGTCTGACAACCCACACAGCTGAGCCTCTGTTTCTCTATCTAGATAAAGGATGGTGTCCTTCTAAGGAGAGCAGGTGAGCTGCCAGTGAAGATAAGACTGAGAGAGATCTGCTGATATTAGGTTAATACAGACATTTCTTTCTTGATAGTATTTGATTTCCAGAGACTCTCGAGAATTTAGAGTTCAAATCCCTGAGATTCATGATATGATGTGCTATATAAGGTCATTCATGTCACTGACAACTTTATGGACAATATCTCTTGCCATCAGATAGCATTCAATATGTGCAAACACAGGCTGAAAACTACATCCATTTTTGGCTGCAGGATTGTAAATCCAGTCTCCTGAACTTCTGGGAGCACAGTTTATCTTACTTCTGCTGAATTAATAATAAGAAAGTACAGAAAATGTTAGACCTACCTCTCAGAGAGACAAGCTTTCATGGGGAAATTAAGAGATTAATCTCTTCATTGAACGAGAGAGGTGGCTGCTGATGAAGCAAGGACAGTTACTAAAAGGCTGCTGGAATCCAGGCCCATATTCAGGCTCCAGCAACCCCATTTTCCCAGACTTAAGATGTATGGTCAGTGAAAATTGGTACCAGCATGCATACTAGTTCGTAATGAAAAGCCATTGTATCTCAGAGCCTGAAAACACATCATCAGCCTCTTGGACTTGGGAAGTTGAGCTACGTGGAGACAGACTCTCCTTTTAACCCTGCTTTCCTTTTACTACAACTACTGAAACACCGTGACTTTTCTCACAGAATAATTTTATGAAAACTCAGGTCTGAAGAAACATTTCTCCCCTCAGAACACCAAAGGACAAATGAACAGACCTTTACAGAGCCACACAGGCATTGCATCAGTCACTTGATCCCACATTTTTCACCTTAAAGAAGTATACATTTTTAGGTCTGCTGTGTCCAGGCTGCTAACCCTGATGATATTTAAACTAACAGGACAACAGGCAAAGACAGAACACACTAAAAATTCCTTCTCCTAGGGAGGTAATGAAACACTGTAGAGTAGAATCATAGAAACAATGATTCTAGGGGTTGAAAAAGCAGGCAAGTTTGGTGAGCAATATTCATCAAGGAGAACATGAGTGATGCAGTTATCCTTAGAGGCCCAGCTTCTGTCCTGCTCTACACTCTGAGGACTTGAGAAATGTCAAAGCATAGACACCCTAAAAGAGCAGCAACTCATTCATTTGGTTTTCTTTAAGTCTTGCCAAGGACAGACATTGACAGCTGATCTACAATGCCTGTGAAAACATTTGCAGTTCTGTCCTTGAATTAAGCAGGAAAAATTATTCATGTAATGAATAAACACAGGCAGATCTCCGAAGCATTAAAGGAATATTTTTAGAAGAGATGGAGGGCTTTTTAAGACTTTCGCACATTTTTGTGGGCTTATTTCAAACACCCACCTGTGCTTTGGTAACATCACTTGAACTTCAGAGGACGAGATGTGTTAGTGCTCGGGGCAGCTGGGCTCCAGGCAAGAAGAGGTACAGTGGTTGCATAGCCACAGCCTGCTGGAAGTTGCTACAACTTCACTAGATTATAGGGAAAAGATGTCAGGATGGAAGGTCAAAGCTGAGAAAAGATTTGCAATATATAGGGTAAATGTTGAGTGCTGTGGGCTTTCCTTCTCTCACTAGCGGAAGAATAACAGCCACTAACTAGATTTTGACAGTGAGATTGGATAGACAAGAGGAAGAAGCTGCACAGATACTACATAAATAAATATACTCTAAATAAAGGGGAAACTTCTGTCTGTGGGTTGATGTGTGCATGTGCATCTACGACCACATGTCAAGTGAGCTAGCTGTTCATGTACTACAGCTTCTTGGGCTGGCAGAAATGGATGTGGCAACAGGCCATGAGGGAACTATGTCCATATCATTCCATCTGTGAAAAGGTGTTTTCAATTTGCATTGTCATGCAGCATCTGATGTTTGGTACCCACAGCAGACAATAAATGATATCTTTGTTTTTTTCTTGAATATAATGATTTTGGAGTAAACAAACATTTGTTCCTCTTTCTTTTCCAGTGTAAAGATAGTCACAGACTTATCGATAAAGGAGAAAGTTCTCAAGTGGCTCAGGCAGGTGCAGCTTGCGGACTGCGTATAGACATGACCGACCCAGATGTTTTCTGATACACAACCGGCACAGCTGGGCAAGGCTTGCAGGACCTGGGGTGAAAAAAAGGAAAGAACAGGAAACCCCAACCCCACCACCAGTATAAGTCAGAAAGCAACAAACACCAGCAAGATTTGCAAATCATATCAAGCACTACCCAATGACTTGCTGAAGTCAGGGAGAGCTAAATATATTATTGTTCATATTTAATATCTGTTGTCAAAGTTGGTTTAGTTACTTGAAAATTATAAGCACTAAAAATCTCTTTCTGCATGCATGGCTAGGCTCTTCTGCATCTTTTCTTGAGCAAAAGCTTAAAATACCATTAAAGTGTCTGCACTTGAGAGAGAGCACTAGGGTGCATAGCCCTTGCTCAAGATACAAGAAAACTCCCAGTGATTTTGTGAGGAAAAAGACAAGAGTGAGTACAGGGAGCTGCAGAGGTGCTCGGTGTAGACCAGCCATAATTGGGTGGACATGGCAAATACAGTTAGTTGTTCATATACACAGAGACACCAACTGCTTGTGTCTCAGCAGGTACCTGCACCTTTTTTACGTGACCACACTGTCTCAGAATATTTATGTATGTCTGGCAGTCTATCAGTGCTCCTCAAAATGATTTATGTCATCAAATTCTAATTAAGTCTGATTTTCTATCTTTCAAAGACAGAAAGTCTCTAAAAGTTTTGTTCAAAAAGGCACAAAGAGTGAAAAAAAAAGGATTAACTTATTATTAAGTAAATAAATGATGAGATGTCATTTTGCCCTTCCCTTGCCTTGGGGGAAAGGTTGCTGCGTGTGAAAAACTCTTGTTAAACACTGGAGAGTCCACTTGTAGGAAAGCTGTCAGAGGACTTATTGGGACCACGGTGAGGCCAGCTTGGGCAGTGGTGCTGCCCTGGTGGCTTCCCCATGGGATGACCAGGCAGATGCCCCCAGCCCACCATGGGTCAGGTGAGGTGTACATCAGGCACAAACCCACTGGAAATAAGGCTCCATTGCTTCTGCAACTGCATGCTTGCATGTGCAAATGCAACTTGCTAGTGAATGTGTCCCTCCCTCCACTTTGCTTTCTCTTGCTGGAGCTGCTCCAGGTTGAACCTTTGCTCCTACTCAGACATGCTCATTTTTTTGAGCCCTCTCAGCCCTGCCTCTCCAGTTTTTGGCCAAACAGTAGTGATCACAGCAGTATTTGACAAGCAATGGGTAGAGATGTGTGCTTAAAACCCTGTACTTATATCTTCCAGGTAACCTGTGCTTTTACTACAGGAAAATTTAGAAGCTTAAAGAGGCTGATAATGCCCCCTCTGAGCAGAAATTGATAGAAAAATATGGGATACCTAGAAAAAAGCACTGGCACCACTGTCACCAGAAGTGAAGAAAGAATATTCCATCTCCCAAAGCAGTCAGGAAAACAGATACATTTTATATTTCACGTCACTTAATAGCTAGGAAGAGAAGCAATTAAAGGGAGTCTAATGGCAGCAGAGAAGTCAGGGAGCAGAAGGAAAACTTTTCTACCTGAGAATGCTTATTTCAAAAAGAAGGTCCTCAGAAAACACAGAAATATGGGAAAAGGGCAGTTGCAGATGCTACAGCTGCAAAGTACTTGACAGAGAACTAAAGGGACAGGTGAGGAAAATGAGGAAACTGGATTTCTGAAAAGAGGCATTGCCAGCTGACATGCCCCTATAGTTCCTCTGGCTGTAAGGGAGGAGAAAGTGACAAGCTAGAAGGGGAAATCAAAAAGAAAGTTCACGAGGATAAAATAACTAATATTGGGATATTTCTTTACCTACACTAACTCTCTTTCATGCAGGGCAACTGGAGCAGGACAATTGCAAGCACTGCCTTTGCTCACAGCCTGCTGTTGCTGAGCCCTGATAGCCCTGACAGAAGTCACAAGAGGTGAGAAGCATTCAAGCAAAAGTCCTCCCAGAAGGCTTTAGACATGACAAATTAAAGCTCTGCATGAAAAGCCACAGGGAAAACGAGTAGGACAGAGGATATTAAGCCAATGTTTCATTTCCTCCATAAAACCCACCTGTGTGCAGACAGCCGACACAAAGCCTATGTGCAACATTGACAGTATTAAATTACCATCCAAGAGCTATTTTGCAGCTGGAAGCTTTCTACACACATCATGCTTTGCTCTTTGGTGGGGAGCGAGCAGGCTCAGCAATGTGGCAAGCTGCCTGCATAGGGGAGCACCATTTACCTGCCATGCTGACAAAGCCCCAGGGAGTGATAGCTCAACTAACAGGGTACTAGTGAGCTGGGAAACACAAGAGGCTAGAGGAGAGGGGTGACATAATTCAGCATGCCCATATCCTAGGGATATTGCTAGTTCTTGCTGTGTGTGGTGCAGGTGAAAATGGCTCAAGAAGATCTAGATTCATTTCTGCTCAGAGGTTTCTTTCAGTAGACTGGAAAAATAATTTCAGGGAGACTGAAAATAAGTTGCAAGAAGCACTCCTGGTTTGTGCTGGGGTTGCAACCCACTGAACCACATGGAAGAGCTCCATGCCATGAAGCTGGATAGTTACCAGGCAAACAGCTCTGCTTTCTCCTGGCAACCGAGGGCACCCACATTCATATTTCTTTTTTCTTCAGGAAGCAGGACACTGAGCCATGGTGTTAGGCTGAACACAAGATAATGGTACTAAAATATTATCATAGAATTACAGAATCATAGAATAGTTAGGATTGGAAAGGACCTTAAAATCATCTAGTTCCAACCCCCTTGCCATAGGCAGGGACACATTATCTATGAATAAATTCTTATAGCAGCTTTTAATCCTTAGAGTCCCATAGGTAAACACATATAATTTTGCTTCAGAAGACAGAAAAAGAAAAGCACAGAAAAACTGATCAATTTACCCACTGAAACCCTAACACTTGGTGGCAGATTTAGCAGCAAAACACACTCAGTTGTGTGTCACGTGCTGCAGAATTGAAATTGGTAGAGAAAATGAGAACTTATATAAACCATCACTTATAAAAGCAGTTAAGACAATGTACTAAGGTGAAAGAAATAAATGTTGTTCTACTTAATAAGAAAAAAAAAAAAAGAAGAAAGGAAACTATTACCTTCCCGAAGCAAAAGTGCCTGCTCCACTTTGCTGTTGGGTACGGCAAGATCCAGGGCACATTTGAGTTCGGCATTTCTGCATTTTGGGTTAGCACCATAGTCTGCCAGCAAGACTACTACCTCCACGTTGGATTTCCTTGCTGCTGCATGGAGGGGGGTGTCTAATCGCTTCCCCATGTTAACGTTGGCTCCTTGAGAGAACAAGAGTGTGTGGTTAGATCTGGGATGCAGCAGGGACTGCCTGAACATACATAACGGGCTGGTTTCCACCTGTAGCTTCAATAACTGAAGGAGAACAGATGGCACACAGACCTCCTCCATTTTCTTCAATAGCAGCAGTGCAAAACTTAGCAGGTCAAATACCTGCTGTGTAAAAGTCCTCTGAGCCACCAAACTCTGTCTGCAATGGACAGTACTGAGCAGTTTAACCCCCAACCCAATGGATGTTCAAAGCCTACCATATACTCCGTAAATTTGTTAATAACATAAAATCTAACATAGGTTATGTTAATTCAGTTACTGAGGAGAGAGGAACCCTTTAGGTATCTAATTTTAATAACTCTGGGAGCACAGCAAGCAACATGATTCCCTAGGCTCTGCAGGCATTAGGAGGGGCCCCATTTTGAGCAGGTCAGCTAATGCACACTGACAGCAAAAATTTATGCTAGCTCATAGACTTTGCCTGGACCTGCAATGATTATTCTTTCAAACAGCTTTACTGCTGTCTTCATCATCCACTGAGAAGTGCTTAGCATGGCAGTTTATCATAATCACGAGTTGATTCTGGTCACTAGTATTAGCCAGCATTGCCTGTGCTTCATGTTATCATTCTAGAAAACTAGAAGTATTTATTTTATTTTCACATTCAGACAGTCTCAGGGAGGTCTCTGTAATTAGGGCTTTCTTTCCTGAGGAAGTGACAAAATCTTGAATGCAGGTGAAATTTTCAGTAGCCTGAAATGAGACTCCCAGCCCTATTTGGGAGCCTGAAATGAGGCTCCCAAGCACCTCTTGCAGGAATAACCCATACTGTTTGCAGTGGAGAGGCAGCCTGGAGAGACCAGCAGCGCTGGCTCACACCATCACAGCTGTCCCTTGGCCCCTTTTCCAGGTGTACCTAGCTCTAAAAGCTTTTTGACACAGTCTGTCCTCTGGTATGTACAAGCCACATAAAGTGGGGTCCCATGCTGCAAGTCTTCTTGGTCAATGTCGACTTCATGGGCCAGAAGTATCTCCATGCACTCCCTGTGACCTGTGGAGAGAAAAGGAGCCGTGACTGAAGTGCTGCAGAGCAGAATACACCCCAATACAACCACTGAGGCAGAAGAGCTGGGAATAAGCCAAGCCTATTTATCCGCACCAGTATGGACAAGTTGGGGGTTTTAAAAGTACTTTAACATCAACAAAAGATGTATTCCTCAGTTATTGTTAGCTTCACTCAAAGCCTGAACATTACCTCTCTTGACCGCTTCGTGAATGGGTGAAGGAAGGTGGTTCCTGAGTTGTGGCTTGGCTCCAAATTCAAGCAGCATGTTGACACAGGCCGCGCTGCCGCTGCAGCAAGCATTAAACAGAGGAGTGATCCCATCAATGGTGACTGCATTGACCTGGAACAGCAATACATGCTCAGGATAATCCAATTTAAGGGGAACGCCCTTGCAGCATACCTCTTGTGCACACCAGAAATACACTAGGATAAGATGCTTGGCTTGTTTAATTTCAGGACTGATTTTGTTAACAACTTTCAGAGTTATATGTTGCAGCGGAGCATATATAATACTCCCCTGTGAGGGCTGCCCTCTTTCCCAGGCAGCTAGTGCCATAAGGCAGTAACACTGCCTGCTGTTAATGCTCCTCCCAGATTTCTTCAGAAAAATCAGGTTTTAATTTTTATTTTTATTTTTTTTTTATGTGGAGAACGAAAGTATCTTCAGTCTGTCTTGTGTGCACCAACCCAAAGCCAGAGTACGCTCTGATGGAAACGGCTTTGTTTTTAAACAAAAACATTTACTTTACATTTGATACTTCCACTTGAAAACACTGTTCCAGCAGAAGGAATTTTCATGGAAACATAGTCTTAATCCCAAACAGAAAAGGAGCTTGAAAGCATTTGTGTTCATATGCATGGGTGTGTATGGGCACATGTAAAACAGAATGAATTTCCTTTCTCTACCTCTGATGTAAAGACCCGGCAAGAGACACCATCTGTCATTGTCCAAGACCACACAGTTCCTGGCTTGCGTTGTGCACAGCACTGTGGCTGCTATGTTTAACTGTGTAGCAAGCCCCCAGGGGCAGTTTATGCAGCAAATCTGCATGTCTTTAATTCTGTGACGTGCTGGAAAAGGGGAATGGATTATTGCACATGGCAATTTGCATGACTTCCAAACCACGGAGAAAAGAGACAGGAGAGGAAAGGCTGGAGAACTCCAGGGCCACCAGGGAAGCTGGAGAACTTTGCTACCTGTTCAAGCACACAGCTGCATCAGAAAGAGATTGGAAATATGGAGTAGATATACCTTGGCTCACAGAAATTAACAACCAAGGCATTTTGCCTTTAAAGCAGACAAAGGTAGTGTCGTTTGGAAACCTATCGGTTTATCATGGGTAATTTAGCAGCAGACCAACTGCAGTTGATACCTTCCTAGATAACATTTTGGGTTTTGTTCATTTGAACTACTGACTTGATTGCAATGCTGTGTGAGTTAACTCCTTGTCTCATAAGGTGCTTTTCCCACAATTACAAGCCAGCTCTTGCCATTTCCAGTGATTCAGTCTTTGCCAGTGCAAGGCCACATTCCCTCGCAGGAAGCTACACTTGCAGATTATGCAGGTACACTGGAGGAGGCAGCCCTGCTCTCTGGTGCATTCTCTGCTTGCTCACTTTCACGGAAAGACAGTGGGGGGGAGAACAGATCTGGCTAGACTGTAGTGACAGGACAAGTGGTAATGGGTTCAAACTTTAACAGGAAAGATTTAGGTTGGATATAAGGAAGAAGTTCTTTACTGTAAAGGTGGTGAGGTACTGGCACAGGTTGCCCAGAGAAGTTGTGGCTGCCCCATCCCTGGCAGTGTTCAAGGCCAGGTTGGACAGGGCTTTGAGAAATCCGGTGTAGTGGAAGGTGTCCCTGCCCACGGCAGAGGGATTGAAACTACATGATCTTAAGGTCCTTTCCAACCCAAACCGTTCTATGATTTTGTGACAGGGCCAAGAGGTAGCCAAGCCAGTGTGGTATGGGGTGACAATAGGTACCACAGCATAGGGGGCATCTGTCTGGTCAGATTTTGGAGCCTAAAATGCAGTTTGCTCTTCCTGAAATTGCAAGGCTCCAATTGCAACTGCAACAGCATCATCACTACAGATCCCAGACAATTTTTGATCTTCCTCCCTTCCTATTAATTGATGATCTAAACTATCCCTTATTCTGCACAGCTTCCAAAACAGCAAAAAGAAAGAAATAGCTAATGCCTCTGTATTTCAAACAGATTACTTGCTACCTCCCATGTCTCCCCAGTCTTATTGGGCAGATGTGGCTGGAGCTGATGGAGGCACTTTGAGAGTCTACCAATCAGCACCATTTCACAACCAGGCCAGCGATTCAGGCAAGCTGATAACCACAGGTAAGAAAGGTGATAAGTGATGAAGAAAATTGACTTCTCTGGTTTCCCTCTCCACTGGATACTGGTTTAACTGGTAAAATAGGAAAGATAGTTGGTGTGGAGTAAGTAGTTTGGTAAAAAAATGGAAATAAAGAAGAACAGAGCAAGAAAGGAGCGCAGCAGAATGACACGTTTTCCCAGAAGTTAGACAACAGCCTGTTGACTTTATGAATAGAGAGCAGAGGGAAAGCAAAAACCAAAACCATCACAGATATATATTATACCAGGAATAGGCTGATTTCTTAGGAAATCAACAGGTAGTTCAGAGATGATTTTCTGAGTTATAAAAAGACAATATTATCAAATACCAAAAATAAGTAAAACTGAGTAGAAAGGGATTTTCCTTTCATCTTTCTAAAGAATTTAAATTTGGTATGCAGTTTAGGAAGTTAATACATTTTCTTCTGCACATAGCTTGATTGACTGCTTCTGTGTTGCTCAGTTTCTTGCCATATAAATTGTACTTGAAAACTAAGCTGACTGAAATACATTCTTATATATTTCATCCATTCCCCTATCTCCACTGTTAACATGTATTCTACCTTAGGTCGAAGTGGGGGAAATCTTATTTTATTATCAGATTAAATGTTTCATTGCTTCAAGCACATCTATTTTTATTTATGCGAGATTTCTAAACCATCCCACAGAAAACCGGAGGCAATTCCAGTGATCGTTATGGGTGAGGGAAGGGGATAAGTCATTTTTTCAAGATTATTTTCACCTTGTTCCTTTTCCATCAGTTATGACTACATTTTGGATACAGAGGGAAATCAAAACAGAGTAATAGGGTGACCCAACCAGCCACTGGGGAAAGGCAAATACAACACCCACAGAAACATAGAGCTGTTTTATTTTCCCCTGTTTCTGCCCAAGGTACTTCTGTCCATCTGCATCCTGGCCCTGCTACCCCAGCAGTCTATCCAAGATCCCTCCTGATGGAAGGCGTATCCTTGCCCCAGGTGCCTGCATCCCTGCCAGCATCCCCAGGACTCACCTGAGCGCCGTTCTCCAGCAGCACCTTTGCACAGGCAACGTGACCACCGAGGCAGGCCTCATGGAGAGCCGACACACGGTCCACTGTCAGCAGGTTCACGTTGAAACCCTGCAATGCAAGGTAAGAGACATGAGGGGAAAGCACTGCCCAAACCACATGTCTCCCCTCAGGCTATGTTGGGCGCAAAGGGAGGTCAGACCATGGCAGGGGAGAGCCACGTTGCTGGGTGCATATCCAGGGGAGGTGCACGGGTTGGATTAATGCTGTTCACTGGTTCAGTGCTCATGCCCAAAAACAGCAGCTGGTGATTGGGTTAAAGTAAGCAAGGACAAGCTATGCTTTCTATTTTTATAGAAATAGAAGGCATAGAGATGCCTTCTATTTCTATGCCTTCTTCTTCTATGACAATGCACAGTCAATCACAGGAAAGGCATTGCTTTTCTTTAACTTATAAGGGTGGCATTACCTTTGCTATTAAGTCCAGCACCAGGAGCTAGAGCTGGTGGAATTCACCTCCCTGACTGGGGATGTCTCTGGCACAGGTATCAGCAGCTCTGCTGGAGCCGTCGTCTCCTTCAGTGGAGATAAACAACCCCCCTAGGATATGATTCATTTCATGCTAAACCAGCTGTTTCTAGTAAGTCAGATGAATTCTGTCATAAAAATACTTCCACTGACTATATAGTGTGTTGTGTTTCACTCAGAGGTAGTAAGTACCTAGTAAATCCATAGGATAGATGAGACAAATCCCACCCCCGAATCAGTTCCTCTCGTTTGACCACCCAGGAAACATTTTACATTGGAAGAAAGAACTGTGATTTACAAATGACTTGTTACAGGTATTTCCCTAGATGACAGTTCTTGGGTCTATTTTGCACAAACAGAAAACAAACATATTCACAAAGGAGAATGCAATTGTCATATGTTTTCTCCAGAATGCAGCTAAATCTCCTAGTAATTAAGATTTTATAACCATGTGTGAGAACAGGCCTGGAAGCAGCTCCGTTTTTTACTTTTTTTTTTGTGGGTTTTTTTGTTGTTGTTGTTGTTGTTGTTTTTTGGTTTTTTTTTTTCCGTGATGTCGTATATTTTGTAACATAATTGGTCTCTACCTGATGTGCTATAAACGAAACAGCCCACAAGATGGCAGCAACGCACAGTTTGGAGAGCAGTAGCAAACGAGATGGGCAAAAGTATTTGTGAGCAATGTAACGCTGTAAAAAAAGTTCGTCTCGATACAATAAGCGTTAAATGAAATCACTGTAATCACTTTAAGATAGATATTCTAGGATAGGAAAAAAATGGGTTTCAGTCATATGAAAGCACTGTTAATGTAAAAGCTGTCACAAAAAATTTCCCCTGCCATCAGTGCCAGGGGAATAGATAAAACCTTGAAAAAATGTTGAGAACATTCCATTCTCTAACTCGTAGATGTCTCAAACTTCATGATCAGCATATCCCTTCAAAAGGAATATCTCCTAGAGAATCTGGAGAAGGAGACTTATTCTCCATCATTATTCATATGTGTATATATATAATTATTGAAATTTGGTCATTGCAAGCAAAAGAGGAAGTACTGATATCTTGGGCAAAACAGCAAACCCTTCCATCATGAAATGGAGAATGACTTATAGATATTACTATAGCTGTTTGCCAAACATTGGTCATGTTAAGCCTTGTTTTCGATATATGTGAAAAATGAAACTTCTTTTGGTGCTGGAACACGCATTGGTGAGTTCTTAAGCTCTTTTAAAACCCCAGCGCTTCATTGTCTCCTTATGTGCAGTCATCCCCTGGGGAGCAGAAGCCTCACTGGCTTTCCTGAAAGCTACAGCCCTATGGCAGAGACTTTTATGTGACCAACATACTCTCTAAAGTATAGCTCTGCATTTAATTTCAGGTTAGTAATGTAACTATATTAGAAGCAATGAGCAATGATTATGCTGCTCTGTGAACAGCTTTTCCCCTACATTTATCAAGCTGTGGTGCATCAGCTCTCTGTGGTGAATTCAGTCTCTACAAACATTGCTGCCTTAATCTCTTTTTATCAGCAAGGACCTTAATCCCCCTCTCCAAAATTGAATGTCTTCAGAAAAGGGTGGATTAACTAAATGATGTATAACCACAACACTGGGTGCTTCTCCAGTGTATAATTGGGGCATTTAGTATATAAAAAGATACCCCACTAATAAGATGGTGTAAGGCCAGCATAAATGCAGATACAAGAGGTCAGAAAACCAGCAAAGCCGTGAATGAATAAGCCTTCTTCTTTATTATCCCCAAGTTCCATCACTTCCTTTTCCATAAAAACTTCAGATATCAGTAGGTGAAGGAAAGAGGGATCAGGAAATGGGAGGGGAAAAATTGTTGTAAACAGCAACCTCCTAGCTGCAGCTATGCCTCGATAAGATGTCTGGACTGGAAGCTTTCACACCAGGGGCTCCGCTCCTTGAGGACGTTGCCCATTCGAACTGTGGCTTCACTGGTAAAAATTATTTACCTTGGATATAAAAAGTCTGGTGGCCAAGTAACAGACCTCACATTCAGGGAATTAATTTCCCTGCAGTCGTCCTGACTGGTGGGGGTGCAGTTGCTCATTCGTGCCAGTTGAGGGCACTGAGTTTAAGCAAAGGTGACAAGGAATACGGTTGGCAAAGCAGGAAGTACCATAACCTGTCCCTTTGCAGCTGCCCATTTTCACATCCAGCTTCTTATCCTCTCTAGTATATTCTTTCCTCCACTCTTTTGCATCAACTCTTGGTTTCATTTGTTGCAGAAGCTTTCCGTTTGACAGGTCTCTCTTGAGTAAGACCATGCTTGCTATAGCAGGATGTACTTTTATAGCTTTCTATTGATTTTTTTTCTTTTTAGTAGCTGATATATATAGTCCCTGTTCTCAAGCCCAATTTGCATGATTTGTCATTGAGAAAGAGACCAAGGATCACTGTCTATGATACAGCAAGCTACAAGCTGTAATGGTCTTTGTGCTGGGCTTAACTAAGTTAACCAATACATGCTCAAAGGCATGCATGTGGATAATATTATTTATACAACTGTATTTCTTATGCCCTGCTGCAGTGTATTACCAGCTCACCAACACACAGATGCAAGTCAAAAGAAATATGCTGCTTGCCAACCTTTTCTTTACCTGTGCAATCAAGGTTTTCAGAGACAGGAGGCGTCCTTGGAAGGCAGTTTCATGAAGAGGGGATCGGTCGGCCCAGCTGCCTGAAAGCAAATGCATAAACATTAATTCAGGTTAGCAGCAAAAGCAGATCCCAGGAAGACAGGGAAAAAACAGCTAGGTGCAAATGCAGATCAGGACAGAAATCAATGTGGCATCAGTGATGAAACTGTTTGATAAATTGGTTTCAGCAGAGCAGCTGAGGTCACAGCACTCCTGAGAAAGCTGGGGCTGGAGCTCACAAAGGGACCTAAAAAGCATCTTGGCAGAACTTTCAAAACCAGCTAAAAACATGCTTCAGCAGAGACAATGAGTTTAGTACTGCTGGGACTTACTCAGGGACTTCCGAACCCTGACATTCTATTCAAAACCGTATCAGCCTCCATCTTTTGAAGGAAGCTTTTGTCACAAATCATGTTCCAGAATCTCTTGCACTCTGTTAAGAGACTCATAGCAGGGAGACACTGGGGTGACTTGTCTATCAAATGAATTCTGGCATGTCCCTGGTAGTTTTATTTCCTGAACTGTCAATTTATGAATAATATCCTCCAACCTACCAGGTAGCAGGTTTCATTCTCCCTCTCACTGGAAGGTTTCAAAAAAGACATGGAAAAATAAATCCTGCCTGAGGCTTTACTTTTCTTCCTTAATCATTTTGAGTTGTTGAACTGTTCAGACTCCTTCATGTAGGCTAGCTTGCCCTTTCTCTTATCTTAATCTACCCATTTGCCAAGAAAAAAAATTCCCTAGGCTTGCTCCCTGCGGGCATGGTAAGTCATCCCAGGTTAAATCCCTGCAAAAAAAAGTAGAAAGCAAATTTGCTTGTCCTATATTAAAATTTATAACCATATCAGGCTACAGTATGTAGAAAGTATTTCTACAAAGGCCGGCTGTATTGACAGTGCCACAGGTCAGAAGCAATACCAGTGTTTGCTTTCATGCTCTGCTGTACAGCAGCCCCATGAGCACTGTATCCAAAACCCCTGTCTTGTTTAATTTTTTCTGCTACGCTGCACACCAGAAAGAATGGAAAGGGTGATTTATCTCCATTTCAGGTGTAAGGCAAGGCAGGAGGAAATCAATGAGAGGCACTGACATGTCCCTGGGGACTTGAGAGCAAGGACATAGCAGAGGTCTCAGCCTTGGTCAACGGAATTTCCTTGTGGTACTTGAGAACTGGGATGCACTTCAGCTCATGGGGTTATGGTTTTAACTATAGTTATTACTTTTGTTCCCATTTATTTAAGAAGCTGTTCCTGGGATCCTAAAGCAGGAAGCTGGCATGGAAGGATATGACCAGGCTCCTAAGGACTGAGTAGGAGACACCAAATGAAATGATGGAAACAGGAAGGAACTGAGAAATGCTTTCCTGAAAACATCCCAAAACCTCCTCATCCGTCATCATGCTGGTGTCTGAAATAGGCGAGCTTAGTTCAGAAAGTCAGAAGATATTACAGGTGACAAAAACCAGGGCTCTTATATAGCAGGATGATCCAGATGTAAGTCCGGCAATAGAGCTACAGTGCCTTATTTAACCTTTAATGCGTGTAGCATGTGCAAGCGCACATCACATGCCTTTACAACACATGTGTATGCAAGCACATGCCTCACCATGAAAACACATGCCGCTGTATACTTCCATGCTCACCACAGCAACCTACCTCCCTGAAACATGTGGCAAATATAGTTCCCATACATGGCACATCTTCCCTTCCCAGGTGTGAGTGACATGACTGAAAACACTGCGTCGTTCTAAATGTCTACAGATAAATTAAGCAGCCCTGCTGCTGCTGCTGCTGCACTACTTCACTGTAAAGAGAAAAGGCTCTGAAGGTCCTCCTGTAATCCAATATAATGCCCAGCAACCACATCACATGATCTTATGTTTTGTAAGATTATCCTTAATGGCTTTTTGCAAATGGCAACTTCCAGATAAAAATACGTTGTGGTCTGCTAAACTTCAACCAGATAAGAACCAGCATGAAGGTAAGAAATGCTGTTTGCCATGTGTCTGACTACAATTGCATAAAGACAGTTGGAAAAAAAAAATGACAGTAATAAATGATTGGAATTATATTCCAGAGAACAGCAAATAAATTAATAACCCAGATATGTCTGTATATAAAAGCTTTGTAAAAAATGCTTTGCTGCAGTATTTCTCTTGGCCAGATTTTAATCTCTCTGCTTTGGATGGCTACCTCACACCACCCATGTTCTGCTCACATTCATGTGCCTGTTCATGGTGTCACTATTCATTACAAACCAAGTTCCCAACAAGTGAGTCACATAAAGATCTGTGATGTCACAATATTGGTAAGAATCCTCATTGGTAGTAAAATTAAAATACTGTGTAATCTTACTTAGTGGAATTACTGGGCATGCAAACGTATCTACTCACTATCATGACAGCAATGTGAAAGAGAAAAATCATGTGGAAAACAAAAAAATAAATTACCTACTCAATAGCATACTAAATACAATATATTCCCATGCCATATATTTTCAGAATAATTTTAGCTGTATTCATTTTTAACATCTGATTTAACAAAACAGGGGTTCTTGGCTTGGGCTCATAGAGGCATTAGTTATGTCATAGAATCATAGAATCATAGAATAGTTAGGATTGGAAAGGACCCTAAGATCATCAAGTTCCAACCCCTCTGCCATAGGCAGGGACACCTCGCCCTAAACCATATTACCCAAGGCGTCGTCCAACCTGGCCTTGAACACTGTCAGGGATGGAGCATTCACAACCTCCCTGGGCAACCTATTCCAGTGCCTCACCACCCTAACAGGAAAGAATTTCCTCCTTATATCCAATCTAAACTCCCCCTGTTTAAGTTTTAACCCATTGCCCCTTGTCCTATCACTACAGTCCCTAATGAAGAGTCCATCCCCAGCATCCCTATATGCCCCCTTCAGATACTGGAAGGCTGCTATGAGGTCTCCACGCAGCCTTCTCTTCTCCAGGCTGAACAGCCCCAACTTTCTCAGCCGATCTTCATATGGGAGGTGCTCCAGTCCCCTGATCATTCTTGTGGCCCTCCTCTGGACTTGTTCCAACAGTTCCATGTCCTTTTTATGTTGAGGACACCAGAACTGTACACAATACTCCAAGTGAGGTCTTGTATCTCCTTTCAGAAAATCAACATGCTAAAACTTTCTCCTAAATATTTTTTTGGCAGTAAAGCTGGTTATTTAGTAAAACCATATGCAACACCCACTAAAGAATGCCTTACTTCTGAGAACAATCTTCTTGTTTACCATAGTGCGTTGAGCAAGTGTTGCCCTCATTCTAGCTGAGTAATTGTTGGCTTCTCATATTTTGCACACCTAAATCATGCCAACACATACTGACACCACAAAGACCCCAGAAATGGAAGGAACTTCAAGTTAAAACATCCATCCGTGGTTTTAGCAATAGATTCCTAATTTCATGGCAGCTCCATAATTTAAATCCTCAACTAGGAAAAATTATAGCAAATACATGTTTAAATATTAGAGTGTCCATATTTTTACGTTACCTGGAACTATTCCATAGATCTCTTCTGCTATCCTGGCAGCCTCTTTTCTGTTGCCTTTAACAATGTAGAAATGGGTCAGCAAAGCCAAAGAAATCTTAATTAAAAGCTTGAAGCAAAACAAAGCAAAAATGGCAAAATAGATGTTAGTGAAACTATGGAGTATAGAAGTGCCCTCCATTTTGATTTGCTCTTTGAATAGTTTCTCAGGTCTGCTAAGCTGCACCAGGCTATTATTGGTATCATATGTCATCTATTTTAAACCCTCCAGAACCTGCTGTTCCTCAGTTACCAAAAATACATTCTGGTTTTATTTGGTATAGGCTATTTGATACTAAATAACAATACCAAGGATAAGATAGTTTGAACATCCCATGCCATACAGTAAACAAACAGAAAATGCTCTCCAAACCTACATAAATTGAAATAAATTTTTAGATAGATGCTTTTCATAGTGTCTGGAAACCTATACTTCCACATTACATTTATTCCTTGATGTAGCCGTTCCATTTACAAAGGCTGCACAGGTATAGTTGCAGAAATTGTTCTGAGATACTGCGAAAAGACTACTTTTCTGTCTTTTCCATCTTGGCAACAGGCCTCACTGGTATTCAAATACAGAACAAAGGCAAGCATATGAAAGAAAAGCGTTGTCATGAAAGAATCTGAAATAGAACCACATATTTTCAAACCCAGGGTGAAGAAGTCAAAGATATTCTAGGAGGCAAAAAAATTGAAATTCTGTAATCAGAAACACATGCTAACATACTGGTGGTTTTCTCCACTCAGGGATAAAGAATGGTGTCTATTACGTTGCTTTCATTCAGCATCTTACTGTTTTAAAGTAATAGAAATATTTTTACACCATCCATCATTGATTCACAGGTGTAAGGAGCCTTTCTTTAACTGCCCTTTTTTCTTTCTAAAGGCACGTGGCTTACATAGAGACCAAAGTATTTTTTCTGCATGTAATTAATTGAATCTATGTAGAACACCCCATCTCCTTTTCTTTTAAACTTGTCTTGATTCCTATTTTGCTATTTGCACAGCAGGATGGAGATTTACTTTCTTTGAAACCCCTCCTTGCCTACGTTCTCTGACCCGTCAATTTGTACACCTGTGAAGGGAAAGAGCAGGATGACTCTCTCAGAGACCCCAAGGAGATGGTACATATGCATAAGGACATTTTAGAGTAAATTATTTAACTGAACATTTTTGCTGCAGTTTGTTTTGGTTTGTAGCAATAATGCTGTCTTAGTATCTTTGCTGCCTTCAGCACGCTGCCCTCTGAGGTACACTAGAACGCTATTTAAGATACATGCAGACTGACTGAAAAAAACGCACCCAAGCTGGCTTTTTTTTTTCACTTTTCAAGTGAACCAAGTTTTCAAAAATTCTGAATTAAACCAGTATATTACATTTTTACCAGTAACTTAACACCTTCCATAAATATTACATGTACCTTACCTTCCACAGTAATAAAATATATCTGTAGAAGCTATAATACCTATGAATCCAAAAGGGAAAACTACCTATTTGTAATCACTTTAGTACTGGATGAGACAGCCGAAGACATGGATTACATAGCAAGAGAAGTTCAGTTAAAGAATCAGAGAAAAACAGTTAAGTTTGCTCAAATGGGAAACAAAAAGAAGACATTACTAAACAAAGGTGGAAAAAAAAGGGGATGATCAGTCAGCCCTAGAAAAAAATAAGATGAGAATACTCCTCTGGAAGCCAGAGGAATAGCAAAAGGTGTAAAATTCGGCATGCAGCGAAAAAGAACAAATGGAGGGGGAAAAACATCATAATAAAGAAAAGGCCAGCCTAAATGATGGAGAAATCTTTCTCATGTAGTATCTACAAAACTGACACTCAGTAACACTTAAGCAAGAAGGAACAGCTCCTTCTTAGAGAAAGACCAGAAAACAGACCTTTGGTTTCAAAAGAGATCCACTGATCTTTCACAATCAGCCTGTCAGATATTAGGAAATACAAGAAACTGGAGACCAGGTGATTTCCATAGAAATTCTCCCACCCCGAAAGGAAGCTGAAATTACAATAATACTGAAGAGATCTCCAGGTGTTCTAAAATACCATGAGGAAGTTTGCCCACTTGGAAGCAGTCACAGGAGTGTGACTTTTCCAGAAGGACAAACTATTTGTATGATAGCAAAATCACCCTCCTGGCTTCAGAACAAGACAACTAAAGATTTTAAGTTAAAGGATATAACCATTTGAGAAAAGCTCATGTAATCTCTTCATCTGGTCTTAGCATAAAAGAACACCAGGAAAATTAAAGCAATGGATAGAAAAAAAAAAAAAAAAGGATCAGTGGGAAGACAGCTGAACAGCTTGGTGGGAAGCATTAATACTGGTGAAGGTGGTAAGGTCAGGTAAAGTCAGTAAGCTGCAGCAAGATCAGGAATGATTAGTCAGAAACATCTGGTATTCCTGAAACTAAAGAAAAGTGAGCAACGTAACAGTGTCCTGGGTTCAGCAGCAGCAGTCATTTTTCTCTTTCTTAGCAGCTGGTGCAGTGCTGTGGTTTTGACTTTTGGCCTGGGAACAGCGCTGATAACACCAATGGTTCTAGTTGGTGCTCAGTAATGTTTACTCTGACCAAGGACTTTCTGAATTTTTTATGATCTGCCAGGGAGGAAGGGAAGCCAGGAGGAAGCAGAGACAGGACACCTGACCCAAATTAACCAAAGGGGTATTCCATACCACAGCACATCATGCCCAGTATATAAACTGGGGGCAGTTACCCAGAAGGGCTAGATCACTGCTCAGGTCAGGCTGGGTATCGGTTGGTGGGTGGTGAGCAGTTGTATACTCTTCCCTTGTTATTTCCCTTATCATTATTGCTGGTAGCAGTAGTGGTTTGTGTTATACCTTAGTTACTGGACTGTTCTTATCTCAACCCATGGGATTTACATTCTTTCCATTCTCCTCCTCATCCTTCCGGGAGTGGGGGGGAGGAAAGGGGGAGGGGGGGGAGTGAGCGAGCAGCTGCATGGTTCTAGGTTGGCAGCTGGGCTTAAACCACACCACATAGGTAGAACACAGGAGAACAAGTATAACATAAGAGAACAATGCCGCTGCAAAACCAGGAATCCCATCTTTTCTCCCTTGCTGTTTTGGGCTGCATCATAGTGAGCTGAATGAAATGGATTATTCCACTCCATCGATAGACTGAACAGGTCAGCTCTCCATAGAAAAAACATGTCTTACTCAGAACTTCTGCAAGATTTCCAAACTACTCAACAAATCATTATAGAGTAATAACTAAATAACTAAATTGTCAAATCAAAATATCCAGAAAACACATTAATCCTTCACTAAAATTGTCATGAGATGGTGGTTTAGCTAGACCCTCCGAAGAACTGGAAAGCTGATGACTATATACCCTTAGTTTACAAACATGTAAGGAATAAGCACAAAAGAAAAAGGCAGTGCAGCTTAGATGACTTGTTTGCAGTACGGTTCACTTTAACTTTAGTCAGTAGTAAGAAATGCCAAACACTTGTGGTCACATCTGACAATGAAATGAAGATTAGAGGGATCCCCTTCTCAAAGAAATTAAGAGGTCTATTCTTATATTAGACAATCCTTGAATTTCAGCAGTGTATTTCTAATGTGTATAGTTGAGAGTCTGAGTATCAAATATATTCAAAGTAAGACAACTGGGGAAAAAAAGGAGACAGAAACCCTTTATCTTGAAGGGAAGAGATCAGAACAAAGACAGAGAGAGCCCAGCTATCTCTTTTTCATCAGTTTGACCTAATAAATGACACTGCTTCTCACACAAGCCCTGCCTCATTTGCGTCCTTAGGTCAGCACACTTAACAACACTCCTGCTTTTAAAAAGAAATGTATATAGTGACTCAGTGTTGCTGTCAGACAAGCAGACATAGGAATTATCTGCCCTACCCATCACTCATCACTATGTAAAGTCTGGTTGGTTACCTGTTCTCCTGCTGCTGCCTGGGCAGGAAGACTGCAAATTCCAGCAGGTATTTCCCCATCTGCCTTCAACACACATGCTAGCAGGGATGACTCCTCCAGATACATGCCATCAGTCCCTCCCACTTCCACAACCAGCTTAAGAACTAGCATCTACTAGACAACCAGCTAATGCACAATTCAATGAATCCTGCACAAATGTTGTCTCCAGAGTTATGCCAGTGCTGATACAAGTCAGAATCTAAGAACAATCCGACCTGCTACATTTACAAGAAAAACGCATAATTGCAATACAATGGTAAATGTGGATGCAGAACCACATCTTGCCTTCAGTTTTGATCCCTTAGCAAAAAATCCCCCCACCTTTTATCTGACAAGGTCAATGCTTTAGCATTTGGGAAAAATTGTGGAAGTCAACCTCCTACTTACTGTCATACAAGATGTGATGAGACTAGTTTAATGATAGCAAATCAAATATTAAAAATATCTAAATATTGTTTAAAGTTTGTAAAATCATTCTGTTTTGAGATTGATTGTTCTTGTATCTATTTACATAATATCTGTATTTTACTGGAGCATCAAAACTTTTACAACTATTTAGAAGCCTAAGCATATATGTAAAAAAAAAAACAAAACAACAAACCAAAGACTAGTGAAGAGAAATAAATACCAAAACAGGGAAAAAAAATGTTTATTTTAAAACGATGCAGAAAAACCTGACCACAAAAATAAGCACATTACAGTGTATTTACCTTCTTTACAGATCTACCGCATCCACTAAAACACAATCTTGAAGATGAATCTTACAGTCATACTTTACTTGATGCCTATTCTGGTTTAACATACAATTCTTGAACAATCAGCAGGCCACTCTACCTTAATTCACAGCGTCTGCACACAATGTACTGGAAACACTATTTCTCCTTGTGCCTGCAGGATTAAATTTCATTGTAGACAAACAGAACCTTCGCCATAAGAAGTGGGTCTTCCATGTAAGTGGGTTTTTGGTGTTCCCTCCTCCTTCTTACAAGTCTGTGCTCTATGCAATACATTACTCAGTATCACTCTCTCTTTTTCCTTAGTATTTCAAAGTGATTAAATGTTACCTATAAGCACAACTGAAACATTTTAGATTTTTTAAGTGGTTATTTTATCCATGTCTAAATACACATTATCTCTGTTCAGGACTTTCATTACTGCGATTATTTTATTTCACCCACTGATGCTTTTTAAAACTAAATGACATCATCCTGTATTCCTCTGCACAAGGCTAGCAAGTTAATCAGTCCTGCAAAGAGTTACATGTAATACAAGCTGCATTACTTTAGAAACAGTTGTAGTTAAACCTGTCATGGATTAAACTTTTGTGACAACTTGTCACAACAAACAGAATGTTTTTTAAGACAAAAAAACCCAAAATATTTTCTAATAATCATCTTTCTCACAAGAAGTCCAACCACCAGTGATGGGAAGCAGCAATATGGAGTATATTTCTGTATTTTTTAATTGTATGTTCCCAAATATTAACAAAAAATATTAATTCTTTATGGAAAGGTTAATAAACTTTTAAATAAAACTGTAAATACAAGGTATTATTATAAATATATATAATATTTTTCTGGAAGGGTAATCAGTATTTTAAAAAAAGTTGTTATAAATTTGTATGGGGGGGGAATTACTTTGAAAAGTAAATTACCTTAATTCCACCCGTTTATCCACAGTATGTGTGGCACCATTTTAGCTGACATCTACCTTTAAGGTAGTATGTAAAATTGAAACTGTAATAACAATGCATACTGTATGATACATATCAAAGTCTAAAAAAATCTAGCAAAAGAAAACAGACTCTGTATGGAGTTTCTCTCATATTACTTTTCTGTGTTTCATGAAAATATGTTCAATGGAATTATAAAATGTTAGTGTAACTATGTATCTACACAAACAATATTGACAGAAGCTGTGTCTTAAATACTGCCCTTCAAGGGTTTGGAAACAGTACTTTCATATTGCACAGTTTTAATATTAATACAGTGTCCAACAACACATAATACTCAGAGACATAAAAATCATGAGATTTTTAGTCTTCGGTGATGCTTGAATAAGAAATTAACCCAGTGCATCAGGGGGAAGTGTTAGAGGTCGTTGACATAAATGAGATAAATGCCCCCTCTCACAAACTGATGTGCTGTGCTGTCTTATTGTCCCAGGTACACATTACATAAGAGTGCTAACATGCGAGAAGCCAGACCTTCTGGATTTTTATTTTTTTTTTCCCTTTTTTCCCCCACTCTGGAAAGCATACCTATTGGTTATTTCCATTTAAGAGATACCTTTCCAAGATTTCACTTGCAGAACCTATCCAGTGTCTCTGATGTGGGCTAGGAGAAATCACACACACTGAACACTGTCCCTCCCAGAGATGGACTGAAATGCCATTTTGGTCATATGTAAGGAGAAAGAAAAAAGAAAAACAACTAGGAAAAGAAAACTAAGAAGGTGTGGGAGGGGAAAAAGAGAGAGCAAGAAAGCATGACAGTGCTTGTTAAGCCCTTCACAGATTTCTCTCTCGTGTGTGTGCACACACATTACCTCACACTTTGGCATAGTCTGCTGGAGGAGTTTTCAGGCCTGAGCTGTTTCTGAAGGCTGTGTTACCTCTAAAGAATAGAATTCCTATACCTATGTAATCTAAAAATGGAAAACAACCAACCAACCAACCAAGACACGAACACCATCAGCTTTACATCACTTTCACACATGTAAGTTAACAGGACAAATTTAGCACCTCTGAAAACATAAAAAAAAAAATCTTTATGGAGTTTTGATCTAGCAACAGGATGATCCAATTTGACTAGGGAAGAACTTTAAAATAATAATGCTATGCAGGCAAAACACTGTCACTGGGACACAACTAGAAATAAGTCTCCGACATTCTCATGATAATGGCTTTAATGACTTATTTCAAGTACCATTTTCATCTTAGGAGAAAAAAGGTATGTTTTCTTGGGTTTCCAATTAAAAAATTTTTAGTAAGTCTCAGAATAGAAATCACAGTTAATCCGAGGAATTAGCAGAAACTATTGTAAGCTAGTAATTTTTGTGTTTTGCTTTTTCAAATACCAGTAAAGTGTACAGTCACTTTCTGTAATACTCAAGTTGTTGAAAAAATTTTGTACTTTTGTCTCAAAGGCTTTTGAATCATATAAAACCCCATGTTCTTCCAATTTTAAGTGCAAAAGAGATGTCCATAAATTTGCATGCATCCAAAACTAAATTAAAACATCATCCTAAATTGAGGTAGTACATTTAATCATGTTTCTTTCCAAGGCCTTCAGAAAGAAACTGAAGAATTTTAAGAGTAATGTCTCTGTCAGCAAGCATTAAAACCTTTAGTGACTGATGCATCCTTTCCTCTCAATTTCAGCACTTCAGGAGCTTAGATCTTCTTTAACGCTTTCTTTTTTTCCCCAAAAAATACTGTTTAGTCCATGCACTTTTAGGTCCTGTGGCATCTATTGCAACATCAATTATGGAGTCTGGAGTCATCCACCTCAGAAATGCCAAGAAAAGGAAGTTCAAAACAGCAAAAAGAGCAAAAATATACCCAGTCACTGGGCCACAGTGAGACATAAGTCTGTTAAGTCGCTCATCCATTGGTAAAACCACTTCATCTGCAACCCTGTCATACACCTAAATGGAGAAAAGACAGAAAGCAAGAACTTAAGTCAGTGTCGATTCTACCATGAAAAACAGGCAGTACTTCGTTTTCAGCATGTAAAATAAATTATCTATTCCTTACTACAAGATGGGACAAATACTAACCCCTAAAAGCTTTGCAGATTTTAAGTACTGTTCAGAAATGTCTTTTCTTTTTTAAGGAGAAAAAGGAAAATAAATGTTTTTGACAGACCTCTAGAGTATTTCATTAAATAGGAAAGCTTTAATTTGTCTCTTGTAATATTGTATAGAGGGGGTTTAGGTTTTTTTTTTTAATTAACAGAGTGGGTTCAAATCTTACATTCACACCAGTCACAGGAAAAGAGTCTGAACATGCAATCACCACACTTTCAAAGATGGATGCCGATCTTCCACATGTCTATATTTGAGCAATCAAGCAAACCATAACAGGATACTGATATGTAAAGAAAAACTAGTAATTCTTAGTAAAATGCTTAAAATTCAATGAATGTAAAAAGCAAATACATGTTACTAGTTACGTAATATGCATATTAACTACAAGCACTAAAATTAAAAAATACAGCCCCATGTTTCATAAATACCCACTACACACATCTCAAAAGAGACTTAAAAGTTTCTTCCTTGAGAACACTGCCTACTCGATCATACAGGTAACTCAATAAGCTAACAAACAACTCTCTTTTGTACAACTTAAGTTCCATGCATACTTTTCGTAATTACACTAACATTTTGCACACAACACTTCAAGGATACTTAGAGAGACATCTGAGTGCACTACAATGTAATTAAGAGGCATGTGATTCAGCTACAGTCTTGCCTAAAACATAGGGGCTGAAGTCAAAGCAACAGATCTCCAAAAGCAGCTATAAAATTACCGCGCTCAATATTCTTCACTTACAGCGGACTTTTTACACTCAAGTGTGTAATTCTGAAATATGATTCCAGGAGTGTGACAATTTATTTTCATTACATCCATAGCTTATGTAAATTCAGCTAGGTTCAGCCTACTGGCACTAAACTACTTTGTATAATTCTAAACCACTTGTTAACACGTGGCAGACAAAACTTTGCCATGAACTTTTCCTTTTCATCCATCTTGTACAGCATGTTTTCCAGTTATGCAAAAAAAAGATTCTTAATGTGAAGACTGGGAAAAAAAACAACCAACTAACCAAAACCAAAACTAAAGCATGAGTAGAAATGTAGCTAAAGATTTAGGCTGTTCCTCAGAATATTAATCAGCAGTTATGACACAGAAAAAAATGCAAATAGAAAAAAAAACAACACATGTCTAGGTATGTATCTAGGAGGAAAAAGTATTTTCTGAACCTTTTTAAAACCATGTGTGTTTGACAGAAAAAACACTGAAAAACTACACTGAAAGGTTATATAGAGAATGTACATAGTAATGTTTCAAAGCAGCTGCTGCTTAAAAACCGTACTTAAGAGAATTTAATCAAAGTGATTATACATACTTTCTCAGTTCTCTCTGCTATATTCCTCCATGTATAAAACGTCTTTACTTTATTATGAACCGTTTCTGGAGACGGTAGTGTTCCTGCTCTAAGCTGGGCAATAGCTTTTTCTAATCCATGGCACAGAGATTTCACAGAGGGTTCACACAGAATAATGAGATCTTCTGGAAGCACCTCAGGAATCCCGCCAACTCTTGTACTCACAACCTTTGAAAGAAACAACAGAAATAGCACTTATGCAGCCTAACAATAAAACAATAACATTGAGTGATGACACTATTAAAATATTTAGATGCGGCACTTAAGAATAGGAAAAAAATTATTCAATGAGTGGTTCCCGTGAAGGCAAAGACCAATACCATTCTTTAAAATTTTACCTGTATGCAATCTATATGAGGTTTATGCTTTAGAAAAGACCCAGCGTAGTATATTACCTTTAACAATGTTCAGAATGATTCTTTGGCAGCATGATAAAACAGAAGACTTGGTCTAATGAGTGGTTTATGAGACATCTTCCCTAAACGTATTTGTCACAGTATACAACTAAATCTGTGTAACCAGATTTTAGACTTTCTCTCCATATCCCCTCATGAAAACTTACCTCTATTTGGAGAGGACAGTTTTAACACATCTGCCTTTGGTTTATGCTTTCTAGGCTACTGAACATTTACAAGAATTACGTTTAAAGTTCAGTAATTTTAATCTGAAATACTGGTTTTAAAGGGAAATCACATCTCTAATACTAAGAGACATTAAGACTCCTATTATGTAATCATCTCTAAACAGCAGGCAACAATAAGAAAATTGCAGAATAAAACAGGTGACAGGGAAATAACTAACACAACTAGGGGGTAACTACTGTCAAAGGATACTGAAGTAAAAAAAAAAGTCCCTCACACTTCCTATACTTCATGTATATTAGGTATTCTTCTCAGCCTGACATTTTTTAAAAATGTTTCTTCATATTTTGTGAGAATCTAAGCTTTTTATGGCTGTTGATTTAACTTTTTTGAGTTGACAATCTGAGTTGTCAATTGGCCAGAAAGGGATTTTATGGTTTTCTTTCCCTCCAACTCTTATCTTGAAACCCTACAGATACAATCTAAGGCAGATACAACCTCAGTTAATGCAAGAAAAAAACTGTCAGTTCTTGGTGCAGGAAGAAAACAGTTCTAGTACAAGGGTTTAGTGTGGCAATTCAATATGCCTGACTGACCATGCTCATAAGCCATTTTTCCACACCTCCTCTTAAAATAAGGTCAAAGTAAACCTTCATGAACATCAGCTACCCCAAAACTCTATACAGGAATACATACAAAATAGCATATTGGAGAGGCAGTGTGGTTAGTTCAGAGAACTGAGAGTTAGCAGATCTACATGTTATTGCCAATTCTGCACATTTCTTCTGGAAGCTTAAGCAGTTTCAGTTAACCATTCTGTCTCAGCTTCCAGGTGATCTGTAAACAGCGATTATATTTGCTCACCTTTGCAAAGACAGAGCCTCAGATGAAACCAAGTGTTAACAAGCATGTATTATTTAATCATGAACTTTGTTTAAAATGGATACATGCATTACAGATAGTTGAGATTTTTATGCTTTTTTTTTTTTTTTTACCTGTAAACCACAGCTTGCTGCTTCCACAATTGCCATACAAAAGGCCTCTGTGAGGGAAGTGTTGAGAAAAATGTGTCCCTGGACTAGGACATTTCTAACATCCTGGTGTTCCAAGGCTCCTAGGAGACGCACCCTGGATATAAAGGGGTAGAGTGTTACACATATTCTGAAAAATATTCCAATGGTTTACACTTATGTAGTGGAAGAAGGAACAGAGACACCTTCACTCTGTTTTCCACCAATAAGGAGGTAAAAGATTCTACTTCTTATTTTCGCACTAAAAGAAACTTCTGAAAACAAAGCTGGGGGGAGAAGCTGCTCTGTTTGTTTTACTGGTAATCACCTTCAAAACATTGCTACTAAGCTTTCTAGCTCTGTAAGAGAACACAAATTAATCCAGTTAACAATTAATATTTGTCACTCTTTCTTTGTTTAGATGTATTATCTGTAATTTCAATGCAAGGCTTGATTAATCACAGATTTGGGGGGAAAGTATTTAGCATACAATGATCAGGACCTATTATTTTGGAAACTGTGAAACAGAAAAAGTTGGAATAAGAAAGATATTAACAAACAATTTTATCAGAGGAATCACTAACTGAAGTACAGGAAGAGTAACATAAGACAGAGAAAAGGAAATGGAAAATTAAGAACCTTGTCTTTGCCACGTAACACTGTCTTTGAACAGTAAGTAAACCCAAAAGAAATATACAAATGCACATGCATTACAGAAACATTTTGATAACACAGTAGCACCAGGAAACATGCTTGCAGTACCCCAAGAAGACATACTAGATAAGCATTACCTGAAGAGTTTCCTATTGAACTAATAAATTACTAACAGTCACCCTCATAAGCAGCAGTGACACAAACTAGCTGTCTAACATGTTATCCCATATAGTAATTTGTGATCCAAACAGAACTATTTCAGAGAGGAATATGATAAATTTATGTCTAAGTCAGCTTTTATCTGACTCAAGTGAAGGTTCATACAAGGCCTATTGTTACCAGTTAACTTGCATGATTACAGTCCAACTTTAAGCCTTCGGTTAGCATCTATCTGGTCTAGCTGCCTTGCCTTCAATAGTTCTCTTCAGCCTCAGGCTTTGTTTTCTTTTTAGGGAAAGGAGGTAGGTAGGCAGAAAGGGTGATGCTGTTGCCTTCCCCACCCCTAAAGTACACTGAAGAGTCATAGACATGCACAGAACAAACCTGTCATGCAGCTGGTATCTTTCCCGGACTTCTTCCAGTATGATTCGCTTTGGTCCTTCTCCTCCAACTAAGAAATGTAATTCTGGATATTTCTGACAGAGCTCAGGAATTATACCACTAAGCAAATCTATACCTAAGAGTAGAAAATTTAGGGCAATCCGTTAATGTATTTGGTTTTAGAACTCATCATGATGTAACCTGCTGCTATATATTCAAAACAAGAAAAAAGATAAGTCTCTTGAAGACAGATACACTGCTGAACACAAAATGCTGAAAAGAAGACAACTTGCAATCTCTTACACAAATCACTTGAAGTTGCTGTTGCTTAATCAAAAAACAGTTAAAACATTTCTGACAGAATATACAGATTAGGGCCTAGATCACACACACACACACCCCAGTGTAAGCCAAACTTTCATTTTTACACATTTCAGTTTACAGAAGAAATATACCTCAGAACACAACATGCGCAAACTGAAACATACATTTTGTTTTCTTGAATGGACACAAAAGCACAGAACTGCCATATCCCAGCTCCCATTTAAAATTCAATCTATACCACAGACATAGCATAAGTGGTACCTAACCAAGACCTTTCTTGACATACCAAAATAAACTTACATTTTTTTCCCCATTACCTTTTCTGTATACAAGTCTGCTGACAACCACAATTGTTATTGTAGCATTATCCCTCCTTGACAGGTCTGGAGTGAAGTCGGTGGGATCGACAGCATTGGGAATGACAGAGACTATCCGAGGGTCCAGAGCTGCTCGCAGCACCGTATTTTCCTTACTCGTGTAGGAGACACAGATGATGTGGTTGGTATCGCACAGGGACACCGTCAGAAGTTTGTTGGTAAGCACCGAGCTGACATCCGCAAACCCAAAAAGGGAATGGTCTGTGAACACTGTTCGCAGCCCCATGGTCTTGGCATGGAAGAGGGCATCATGGGCCATGGCAGAGAAGGAGCTGTGGGCATGGACAATGGTGACCCTCTCCCTCACAAATATGTACCTGAGCAAGGGCAAGCTATGGAAGAGCGTTGTCGCGGTGGACTGGTTGTACATGACCTTAAGGGGCAAGTAATAGACTTTCAGCCCATTAGTGAGGTAGCGAATGCCCTTCCGCTGGCCATAGGCGTGGGTGACCACCAGGACCTTGTGGCCCCGCTCGATGAGGCACTGAGACAGCTGGTACACATGGCTCTCCACGCCCCCCATGTTGGGGTAGAAGAAGTCCGACACCATACAGACGCTGTGAGCACACCCCTCCGGGACCCCGGCCGACATCCCGGGCCCGCTCCTGCCGGGGGAAACCACAAGTCGACATCACTCGCCGCCGGCCGCACAAAAAGACCACCGGCCCCCTCGCTGCCGACGTCCCCACCATCGCCGCCAGGCCCGGCCATCACTCCCGCGCCGGCAGCACGCACCTGAGGGGAGGCCGCCGCGGGCCCTTTAAGACGGCGATCGCACCAGCAACCGGCGGCCGCCTCGAGAGGGAGAGGAAGGGGGGCGGAATGAGTGGGGAGGGAGGAAGGGGGAGAGGGCGCGTGCGTGCACGTACCTGCCGGCCGCCGGCGCTCCCTGGGTACTCCCCGGCGCCCTCCCATTTCCGGAAACGGCCGTCCGGTCACCACGGCAACCGCACCAAAGTGGTCCCGCCTCCAGCCCCGCTCAGCGACTCAGCCAATCGCCGCCCTGCGCTGAATCACGCGGGAAAAGGAGATCCCCAATCGGAGCCGTCGCGAGGAGCTAGGACCTAACGGAAGTGTGGCGGGCCCCCCGCGCCGGTGTTGGGGAGGGGAGAGGGCAGCGGGCGGTGCTTCAGGCCTGCTGCTGGTGCTTCGGTGCGGCACGGGAGGGCGGGGCGACCCTTCCACTGTAGCGTTGTCATTACTGTGGTGGGGCGGCGGCCTCGGCAGGTTGCTGTCAGATAAAATACCCGTAAATAATCCTGTGCACAGAAAAACGTAGTCCGGAGTGGTTTATCAAGTGAGCTGTGTCCTCTAAAACTCCAAAGGCTTTGCCCTCCCCTGCGGAGAAGCTGTTCTGGTGGAGCGTTTGGCTCAGCCACAACGGGAACTCCTGAGATGTTGTCTCTTGCCACAGGTGCTGGAAGCTTGCTCTCTCTAAAGGAAAATAAACTACAAATACCACCATTTTTACAGACAGGCCAGGCATGTCAGCTTTGAGAAACACAGCTGGGTTGTGTGAGTTGTGCTCTGGCACCCTGGGTGGGGCATCGCTTGGTGTGTATTTCTGGTCTTCTCAAAGAGTTTTGCAATCAGCTGTTGGCAGCTCCAACACTGGCCTGGCTGCAGCTGACTGCCAAGAAGGATGTTACCTCAGTGGGCTGGGGTTCATCCCTTTTCTACGTGTTCCCAAAATTCTGCTTGGGTTTCTGGTACGAATTTTGTCAGATTCAATTCTGTCATCACTCCTCTTATACAAATACGTGTGTCATAGATGTCAGTACAAGCTGACTTAAGCTGGACTGCTGGCTGGATTCCTGGTTAGGTTGAAGCTTGGACAAGATGCAGTTTGGAGACACCAGTCCCAAGAAGGACCAAGACGGAAATCAGGCTCTTCATTCTGGGGACTGAAAAGACATGAAAGATGTTAGTGTGTGGAAGAACAAAAACATTGCTTGTTGACTGATTTTATCTTGTGTTCAGAAAGGCGAGACCAGTACTGGCAAACTTGATTTCATCATCAGGCACTCCTCTGGGGTGGCAGGAACCTGAATTTCAGGATAAGAAGCTGCTGATGAGGTCAGAAGTGGGGAGGCTTCTCACCTGCAGTAGCATGTATCCTGCTGTGAAAAATAGATGGGGAACCAGGAGGCCATCGGGATCCTCATTCTCAGAAGAAACTGCAGCCTGTCAGAAACAAAATACTTTTTAATACCATTTGGAAGATTTTTTTTTTTTTTTTTTATGCTAGATCCTTTGTGTGCTGTCTAGAGACATAATTCTTCGCATGCAAGCTTAAAAAATACAAAGAGAAATTGTAAGTGGTATTCAACACAGCAGCCCCTCTCTTTGGCAAAAGAAGTGGTATTTGACACTTTTCATAAGCCGATGCTGACCAGCCACTGCGCAAATCCAGAATACTGGCACCAACCTGCAAAACCTTCCATAGGACAGATCTGTTTAATCTCAGAAATCTCTCTATATGCCACAGCAGTTGTGATTTGTTTTTATCCCTATGTATTTATCTGAGCTTTGGAGAGGGCTTGGTGCTTTCCCAGCAGCTGGCCATGGGCTCTGAACATCTTTCTGAGGGAAGTCAGGAAAAGCATGTTCTCCAAGCCTTCCTGCCGTTGGCCCAGTGTATTAGCTCTGGTCATCTGACATCTGTGTTCTTCATTAAACATGTCTAGTTGTGCTTAGTGTCATATCTGTCAGTAGTCCAAATCAGTCCCCCTGTGTCAGCAGCTGTCATGTCCAAATGACCTCGAAAAATTTGTCTACCAAGAAGCCTAGGAAAAAAACAAAACCTTAATGGAAAGGAGAGGAATCTGCCACTGTGAAGCTGGCAAAGGGTACTGCTAAATTTTCTGTCCATGGCGGGTTCATGAGGGTGGAGTATGGCATACTTTTTGCTGGCTGTGTTGTTGTGTTGCTGATCCACAGAACTGTAACTGATCCTGGGCCAACCCCGAGTCTGTCCTGCTCTGATCTCAGGTGAAGCAGTTGTGAAGGGACCAACAGCTGAAGAGGAAATAAAATTTTCTGCCTTTCTAAAATGAGCTCAGTGCGTTCACTCCTTCACTTAAAGCACATACAAGGTCAGAGAGAGACTGTGGGATATGTAAAGCAGAGAGTAAAGACGTTAAACCAGTGACAGCAGAGTAATTACTGCCTCCAAGCCTAGTCTTCCAGTGCTCCCTAAAGCACCCTAATAAATCTAGTTAATGGAGAGAGAAGATGAAGGACACTGAAAGAGCCTCCTGTGGCTTTGTTCTGGTAGCAGATACTGTTTTGCCTCAAGGAGACCACTTTGGTGTTCTTGAAAATGCAGGAAAACTGTCTGCTGGATACTCTGCTCTATCATCTCCCTCTCAGCTTCCTCTTAGACTGAATTTGCTACTCTGTCCGCAGGCTGGTGGATGATCACTGAAGACCTCTAAAATTTTGATAATTTCCTGCATTTTTTCCCAGTACCCATTCAACAGAACCAAGTATTCTGCAAAAGTCACAGCTGTTACAATTTTCATGCAAGGCTGGCTCCTGTTTCCCCTCTCCTCTAACTTACACAGTAAGGGGTCCATTGGGAAGTTAAACAATACTGGAGGCATTGGATTTACACCAGTCCAAATCCCCATAGGGTCGAACTGTTCATTCTTCAGGGCAGTGTAGGTGTTAACATTGTCATGTAAATTCAAAATCAGGGCAACAGTATGATTGCTTTAGAGCCGTGATGATGTGAAAATGACTCACCCTGTTGAAGGCTTTAGCTACATCAACAAAAACAACTCCCAGGGTTGATGTTCCTTTTTTGCATTTCCAATTACTAGCTGTAATAATTTTAGGTTTTCTGGACATCCTGCAGATTTTATAAATCCCCTGTGTCATGGATTAATGGGACATGCCTTGGTCAGCCTTACTGTTAAAATTCTAGAGAATAGCCTTAAAATAGTTGATCTGATCATAATAGGTCACCAATTATTGGTGTCATTCTGGCGCCCTGCTAGGGCCAGCTTAGATACTAACATAGCCTGACATTCCTCTGCCATGTCTGGGATGGTACCAGTTAGCAGCTAGAGATTGAGTAGTTTTATTAATTCGGTATAATGAAGATCTATCTTAATAAAGTCCCTCCAACTAAGCCTGTATGGACCTAAAGCCATGTTCTTACTCATTTCTCTGATGTTCTTAGAAATCTCTTTGGTTGTAATCATGGCATCAAATGCCGAGTTGTCCGCTAGACCAATGGTTCAGAAAGCATCCAGGCCTTAGAATGGTCTCATCACCTCCTATCTTGACTTGACCACCTTTCTGACACTGCCTCCATTTAAGATGTTGTTCTGCTTTCAAATCTCAGTGTAATGTCCACCACAAAGGTCATGTATCCTCTCAAATCAGGCAGTGTAGGTGCCGAAGAGCAGGAAGGCTTGGGAGCAGCTGGGGGGTATATGCCAGGAATGGCTTCTAGTCCCCTGTGCTTGCACACAGATTGTGTCTCTGTCCTTACCAGTACAAGGCAGCTGCTTGGAGTGTATTGACATATGCTGTGGATTAGTGTCTTTTACAGCACCTAGACATAAGCTGTTTACCACTTTCATGCAGGGACCATTTCAGCACCTGATTGCCTGGTCTCAGTGTCCTTCCTGGTCCCTAACAACAAAGCCTGAATGCTCACTGTCTTCTGCCTTCTCAGCTGAGTTCGTGATCCAGCTTAAGGGCTCCATGAACAGGGCAGAAGAAATTCCTGGGCACACAATGCAAATCAATGGCTGTACTCTCCCTGGTGTTTGAAATCTGTCAGAAGAGCCTTTGTACTGGCAGACCTAAGGGGTATCTGCCCTGTGGCCAGCACACAACCAGCAACAATTCTAACCAGTCGTCTGACTAATTTGACAGAAATTCAGTTCTGCCTGTATCTGGTCTGGATCAAGTGGAGACCTCATAGCAGCCTTCCAGTATCTGAAGGGGACCTATAGGGATGCTGGGGATGGAATCTTCATTAGGGACTGTAGTGATAGGACAAGGGGTAATGGGTTAAAACTTAAACAGGGGAAATTTAGATTGGGTATAAGGAGGAAATTCTTTCCTGTTAGGGTGGTGAGGCACTGGAATAGGTTGCCCAGGGAGGTTGTGAATGTTCCATCCCTGGCAGTGTTCAAGGCCAGGTTGGAAGAGGCCCTGGGTGATATGGTTTAGAGCGAGGTGTCCCTGCCCATGGCAGAGGGGTTGGAACTTGATGATCTTAAGGTCCTTTCCAACCCTAACTATTCTATGATTCTATAAGTGAGATGCAGTAACACACAGATCTGGTATCAGCTGTTACGAAGCCACAGCCTCTTGACCAAAGTAGACTTGAGTTTATTTTTTTTTCCCCCAGTTTTGCTAGATTTTACTGTCCATTTAGTTGCAGATTTAAATTTCTGTTTCTGCAGCCTTGAGGCCACATCAGAGTGCTTTATCATTCGTGCATCTAAGCAGCCTTATAAGAGAAGGCCCATCTTAGAGGTCTCCTGTTTGTAGCTTTAAGACTGTACCTGACCAACTCTTCTAAAAAATCCTGGAAATTTATGCTGCAGAGTCAATCCAAACTGAAGTGACAGAACATTCTTAGGGGTTTTGGTATGAAAATGCTAACAAAACAGGTTTAACTGAAAGTTAAAACAGGTCTTGATGGGAGGAAAAGAAAGGTGCAGTGACAACAGCAGATGGAGCTATTGGAAACTTAAAATGTGTTTGTCCTGGTGGGGCGGCAAAATATTCTCAGTGAAAAGCTGAGGAACCTGCATCTGGTATGTGTTATTTCCTGCTACTAATGCTTCTACCACATGTATGCTCCTGACCATTTTCAGCAAAGTTCTCTGTGCTCATGATACCCATTAATGTAGTACCTGCCTGCTTTCTATAGTTTGAATTAAAGTTTCTTATAGAAACTAAACATGAACTATCCAGTATTTTGATAGCAAATGTCCAGATTTAAACTGTAAAGCAAGAATAATTCATTGTAACTATACTTTTAAATCCATTAAATTA